TGCGGGGATGAGGAGCTCGCCTCGCCTTTTTCCAGCTCCCCGAGGGGAAGGCCGGCCTCCCGCGGTTGCACGGCCTCTGAGTCTCCTCACATACACGATACTCGGTGCAAAGTTACGCTTAAAACACTTTTTTTTTTTAATCAAGGAAGTTCGAAAAAACAAATCCCTGTACAGTAGTTAAATTTTATTACAAGAGTAATAAACTTAATGATTTTTAGCACTAAGGCAATCACAGTTTCATAAGTTATATATATATAATTTACACAAGGCTACATTGACAAATTACCAGTCACATCAACGAGGGATTTGTGTTATGGCAAATAAAGTTTATGAAAATTCACAGTTAATCTGCAAGTATTTTAAAGATGCAGGAATCATCATATTGCACATAATAAAACAGTGGACGCTGAGGAGCAGATTTACAGTGTTCCAGCTATTCCTTCACAGAATATACATTGGTCATCATCATGCAATAACTTCAAATACAGAATGGTATCATATACCACAGTAAACAGTTACTCACAATGTAAGTTTTAAATAGAGTAGCAAAAAGCTGTTAGGTTTCTCTTTAAACCATATTTAAATTCTTAAAATACAATAAAACACTTTGATAAAATCAAACGGAATTATGGTTGTCACATTATACTTTCAGTATTCTTCTTTGTCTTTTCCTTTCTTTTCCTTTTCATCCTGTAGCGCAGTACCAAGTTTCTTTATAAGGACTGACAAAACTTTGTCCAAAGGATCCATGACACCGCGCTGCAGCCACTTGGGAATAGTCGTCCTTGCATGGTGAAAGCCCAGCTTTTGGAGGATGTAGTCAACACCAACGGGATCGATTTTTCTCCCAGTCCAGGATATTAATCTGAAAAACAATCAATGTGAGACTCAAATATATAAATCCAGCAGCTGACGTTTGTATAAACAGTCATCTTTACCTTTACTTCTGACCAACTTAAGTCCAACAAGTGTTACTGTTTCAAACTGAATTTATACAAATACACTGAAAATGACCAATGGAACATCCCTGGAAGGAAGAGCATGCTTGAGGAAGCAAAAAACCTGACTGCGCTGCCTCCAGATCATGTTTAAATTGATTTATTACTACTGCTCACACAAAATGCCACCTGCCAAGATTTGTTGGACCTGGGCTGATGTGTTGTTTTGGTATGTACGTGAACACTTAGGTGCTCCAGCAGTGTCAGCAGAGGTTAAAAGAAACAAACCCTGACACAGAGAAAAGTAATTTTTAGTGTTTAGAAGTGTCTATTTAGAGCAGTGAGTTGCTGCTACACACACTATACTTTTGTGCTAAGTTTAAAGTGCCATATAGCAACTAGTATAAAGTGCTTTTTTATTTTAAGGTGACTACTTAAAGAAGAATGAAAAGTGGAATGCTAAAAATGGAAAACTGCAAGATAAAAAACTCTCTAGCAGAAGGTGAATGGACTGTTGTAGGACAGAGTGAAAGACAGTAACCTGTAGTCCCTAATGAGTTTAATTTTATTGTATCCTAATTTTGAAGAGCCTCCAACAGTATCTTTACTCTGAGTAAGTCCGAATCTAGAAGTTAACCGATGTAATAGATAATTGCATTATCCAGCTTTTGTCCCGTCCTGTAGCAGGTGACTTTCACAGCAGCACTAGTAACCAAAGACAAATCTGTAACAGCATCCACGTAATTGATCCTCTGAGGGGCTGAACAGCATCAACTCGGAAACACTTATCATTTGCAGGACAGTATCCACTGATAAAATAAAGAGGCAGATAAGCCTGGTTGTTACCTGAGCGTGGGTTCCAAATGCCAAGTATTGCACATAAATTCTCTCCAGTCGACTGTAGTGTAAGTAATGCTTTCCTCTGCCTCTTTGTCAGTGGAGCTGTCCTCAAGAACACCTACAGAATTTTTCTGCCCTGGACGAGCAGCCAAAATGCGAGGAGGAAAAATTGCTACAAAACAGAGAGAGAAAACAAACCCCACACCAGTCAGTCAGCATCTCACTTGAATTCTCTTTGTACGTCATTTAAATAAAACAAAAGCACAAGTCTCATAAAAGAGAGAACCACCTTGTATTTCAGTTTTACAGAATTTCTGGCAAACAGTTCTGGTTTGAACAAAGTGCTAGTAAAAAATATCCTATGAATATTGTAACAGACTCTGGATATCACTGGAACATGGGACAGATTGACTCTTCCTTCTCTCTGCCAGCCCAAAGCATCCATATACAAGGGCTTTCTCTGAAATTCATCATGGCATTCAACAAAGCACATTATATTCCATAAGCAAAATTCAGACACGCTCCTAAGTTTAGAATATTTTTTTTAGATTGACAGAGTAGTCTCTGAGGAGGAGGATGGTGGGGGAATAGTTAAGTTAAATCTTTGTCCAAAGGCAGCAAGGGGACCAGAATGAACCCAGATCTTCCTTGAGTTTTAAGTCCTGGGATACAGAAAAAGAACAGCAGCTCCTTCTCCTCCAAACACGCTATTTTATAAAATAAAAACACATCTGTGAATTTGGATTAAATTTGGATTTATTTGAAAATAGCTTGAAAACAAATTTTTTTACAAAGTGCCACCAAAAATAGTTCTCTTCCCCTTTTGTTAGTTTCTGCTGTACCTACACAGTGTAGCAAAGTGCCATGCGGAGATACTAGTACAGCTCCGTGCACAGCGGTGGCACGTCAGCAGAGTGACACTGCGAGGTTTGTAAGTTTGTATGCAACTACTCTGCTTCCAGACCCACAGGAGCTGACTTAAAAAAAATCAGCTCAAGTATTTCCTGAACCATGTTGCACTTTTTGAGAAGTGCCAAAATACTTCTTGGCTTTCAGTCTAAAATAATCCAGAAAAAAGCCTTTGTTATTGCAGAGTTAAATTTCACTTAATGATTGAAAGAGGTAACTGTCATTTCATAGCGTAAGTCCAGATTTCAAGAACATTTAATACTACTTCTATTGATTTCAATGGAAGCAAAGTTAGGCTTAACTTTTTAAAATTAAATCAATTTTTAACAAGTCAATTCTATTAAAAACATGCAAATATTTACTATTAAATAGTCTGAAAACTGCATATTGTCAGACAAGTGTTACCTCATAAGTAGCAACTTACCTTTTTCTTTTTCTTTTAGATAAGCAGACACCAAGTCATGCAGAAACATAATCAATTCAGCATCCATAGTTACACAAATGTGGTCTGTAAATTCAGTTACTACACTGCATTCCACCTTTGGTTTAACACTTGTATCTACAGTCAGATAAAAATAGTATTAATACACTTCTAAGTGCATACAGTATAAATAAAAGTACACAGAATTTGAATACAAATTATTTGAAAATTACATTGTGAAGGGCCACAATTAACATCTGTGGTTAGCAGCCTCAGCAATTTTTTAACAGTTTTCCTGTCAGAGTAACTTCTGGTATTCTATGAAAGATGTTGAAAATAAAAGAAATGCTACCACGTAGCAACCTTGATCATCCTCAACATGGAAAGTCAGCCCGGAGCAGCATCGCTAGCTTGTGCTATGCTATCGGTGCATAATTTTCAACAATAAGAAAAGCTGATAGCAGATTTTGCTAGTTTGGCTATTTAAAAAAACAGCCAAAACCCAACAGGTGGATTCATCTAGTGGTACTATCCAGGATTGGGTAAGAAGTAAAACCACAGCTCAGCCACGATAAACATCTACATTAATATGTTATACTTTCACAAGTCTTATTTCCCACCAATTCCAATTGCAGGCTGAAGATAACATTTTGAAAACAAGAGCATCAAATTTAAGGTTCCTATCTCATATTCCCTTTTTCAGAATGGCCTTACGTCTTTAACATTTTAATAAAAATAAGAAAACTAACTCCCTAAAAACAGCCAACGTAGCTGAAATGTTCATATTAAACTTCTCTCAGTAAGTTTTTTCTATAGTGACCAGTCTCTGGCCTAGTTCTTCACTCTCTCTCATCAGAATTCTCTCTACATTTTATTAGGAAATGATATCCTTTCTTGCAGATCTGAGGTCATTCTCAGATTAAATCCTTTTATCAGTATGGTAGCTTAGTATTCAACTCCTCATAAATGGAGAAATAGCTTTGGCTCAAGAAAAAATAAATTATGTTTACTGCACCTTGTAATGAAGGCTCTTGGGGCTCTTGAACATGAATAGATTTAAAATCCAGCTGCATCCTTGGCAATGCAAAGATAGTTTCAGTTTCATGGTTGTAACTGGAGCCACCTCTGAAACCACTTAGCAAGCTTGAGCTCTTCACTGTTGTGCTGCTCTCTGGGTTGTTAGCATCAACGTTTCGAAGCAGGTTTAACTCTACAGGGAAAATGGGAAATTCCTGAATTCAGTAGTCTTTATTATAAAAAAGTTCTCGTCAGCACAAAGGGTGACACATTGTCATGAAATACATCTCATAATAACAAGGAGGAAGAAATAGGTGCCAGTACCATAACGTCTAAGCGCTCCTAGGAATCTTGGTTTGTTTTTTGGAAGCTTCAAGTCCAAATTTTATTCAGCTGACCACCCTATCACAACTCTGTTATAGTAATGAGCTTTCAGGTAAGTGAGATATAGACTATATGGTTTCAAAGTGTGCCCTTTGTGTTTGAAAATATGGTAGTACTTAAAATGAAAATAAATGTTTCTGATTAATACAAGTAATACCTAAATTCACCAAGGCAGCATTGCTGTCAGAAATCACTGTTGACCAGGAATTCAACTTTATCACAAGACTTTTACCACAGTACACATGCAACATCATTTGAATTAGTTTTAGTTGTTAAAATTGTTAAAAAAGTTAAGAAATGTTACTATTTCATTGTAAAACTGCTGGTGTATGATTATTAAGAAGATTATATCCTTTATCCCAAACATATGGCTACAAAAGGTCAAACAATCAAATGTTGTTGTTTATACACTTAAATGCTCCGGATGTAGCAAACCAGGGCTACATAAAAACATCTAACAGACAGCGCCTCTATTTCTGAACTTCAACCACTACATCCTGTTGTATCTTTCAAAAGAAATAAATATTAGTATATCAATAATTTTAAAATATTTTTTTCAAGAAACTATCATCTGCTCATTTCTCACTATATGCCATATTCTGTTATTCACCCTTTCACAGAAATTCTATTGGTATCATTTACTGATTCTACGGTTTGTGTTACTGATTCTACGGTTTGTGAATGAAATAGTGACAGCTGTATTTTAAGATTTAACATTATCTTGAAAGTTTTATTTTCCAATTAACGATTTAAAGATAGGATTCAAAATTTAAGACTTAGAAGCAGCTGAAGGTAGGAAAGCTTTAGGTAGATGAGTAGTTTTTAAGTGTTCATCGTGTGACGCCTAAATATATTCCTACTTCAAGGTAATCCATAAATCCTTCATATACAGTGAAATATATCCTGTTACAAGATCACAACTGGACGTGAAACAAGAAAATTTTCTGCATATAGTGAAAAAAAGGAAAGGCCTCTGCAATGCCAGATACATGTCCTGTATGCTATCAGAATATTTTGGCTTTACTGCACAGTTTTAAAAAGGACTTAGCTCAGTAACACCTCCAGCTGTTCAGCATATTGCTGTGCTTGATTCCACAGTTCACCGTAAGGTTGTCAAGAAGAAAACAACTCCATTATTTGAGATTCCCTTCTTCCTGGAGCCCACTTAAAGTTTAGCAGCTTTTAAACAGCACAATCTGCCTGGGGAAGCAGCCCAATCCCAAAACTTAATGAACGTGATTCTAACCTTCATTCCTTGTGGCTGTAACGTAATTGAACCACTCTTTTACGCTGGCAACTCCATGTGGGGGGTTTTCATGGCGGCGCCTCGTTATCTTTGTGATTGTTGCCATGGGGCTTTCAAGGGCTCCGCATGGTTTGGTGACCATAGTGTTATGACCCAAATGAAAGTCCAGGGTTTGCACAATATATGTGGAGTGTTCACTAGTACCTGCATTGAAGGTGTGGGTGGCGTGGGAGGAGACAGAAGAAAAATGGAAAAAGCAGCTTGGTAAGGGTAGTAGGATTTCTCCTTTCACTCTCCTCTCCTTGCACAGGTATTTAATATGAATAATTAGTATGCCAGTGGCATTAAAAACTTGCATTATAAAGTTTGCAAACAACAGAAAAATTAAATCCTCAGTAGCTACAGACAGTAAAAACTTCTCAACGTGAAGACAAATATAAGCAATAAGACCATCAAAATTCATCATATAGAAACAAAGGACTACATAAACAGAGACATGCAATCAACCGGGCAGACAATCCACTTTGTAGGCATATTATCAAGGACATATCCAATATATTTGAAAATGTACTTTGTACTATTTCACAGATAAAGCAAATGGTGGTAAAGATGGAGAGGGAACAGATTATTATTTTAGGTAAGCGGTACATTTTCTTTGATTTCTTCTTACATATCAATACATTCTCTAAATTCCTTTAAATTAATTTTAAGAAGTGAGGAAATTTTTTAAATTACCATCTTCCCAAACTTTCTGGGCTTCTGTCCAAAATGCAATATTGGGTTCTTCAAGGTGAAATAAGGCCCAAGATTTTGAGCGGAAATTAGGCCCATGAAAACACGCCAGCGTCATATGGTTTCCATGCAGGCTCATGGATCCTCCAAATTGCATTCCATCTTCCGGCAGTGGCATCTGAAATAAGGATATATGGCACCCAGAGACCACTTTCAAAACTCCTGGCCAATGGCGATGATGGGCCGCATCCAAGACTAAAAAGTAAACATGCAATAGCAAGGAACAACTTTAGGAAACAGAAAGATACAGAATAGATTGCTGTCATATTTATATTTTTAATAAAACATGGAATTACAAGCAATATTTTTAATCTCTTTTATTGACACCACTTCATCTTTGTGATCTAAGGTGGTTTTAGCTTAAGAGTACCTTGAACAAGTATACTTGGAAATCAATGACTCATTGTGTTCAGACAAATTATGGTTTGAGCTCATGATTAATAGAAAGAATAACATCACACTTTCACTGCTACTCAAAGTAGAAATATTTTTTTTATGAAATAGACTTTGAAAAACCATTTCAACTCTACTGAAATAGTTTGAAAATTGCAAAAAAAATTTGATTTTTTAAAATAAAAAGACATATTTTTAACTAAAACCTAAAAATAACAGTAGTTCATTATTGTACCCCAGGTCTAGCAAGATACTTGAGATATTTGCATTCTTCATTGAAAGGTTATTGCCAGCCCAGATTTACAGGAAAAATGTACTCAAGAAACTATTTCAAGTCAAATAGATATACTTGCATGTATAAAATTGCTCAGATGAATTTTTGCAATTAACACATAGTACTTGGGAAGTATACTATTTTTTGCACCACTTACATTGCTCATGCGAGCTTCTCTCTAAGTTGTTGGCCATTGTCTTGGGAGGGAGGTAAGGAACAGGTCCCCAAGTGGACAAAGCTCGCTTGCTTGTATCAAACTGCTGAGTAAAGAACTCCTGGAGTTTCATTCCTATTTTTATTAGGTCTGGTGTAGTCGATCTTGAAATCATCACTTGGAAGATATCCCATTTCAAGTCCCCATGGACAAATATCTCACTAGATATTAAAAACAGCAAGAACGTTAGCAGTTAATCTGTTTCCTCCTGACAATAAAAAAACCCCAACAACAAACCCTTTGCTTTCTAGCAGACGTTTACTTTTTTTGGTTAGCAGTACCAGACAGAAGACACATAGGCAGAGTTTGACCTTATCAAACATTATACGTTTTAAACAGGAAGCAGTATTACCTTTTATCAGAGATGCTCGAGTCCAAAGCATTGTACAGATTAATTTTCCATTCATCCTGTAGTTTAAGATCAGCATTACTGAAGATTCCCATTAGGATACTGGACCCCATATAGTCAACACGTGCTTCAGTAGAACCCATGGTAATTTGAATTTTATGACTGGGCTGTTGGTTTGGGTGTTCAGAAATATGAGCTGAAATAGAACCAAAGCAATGCAGAAGTATAGAATTAAAAATAAGAAAAATCCGTTTTTCCAGTGGTATCACCCTTACGCCATCCACCATGATACAGAGGGACTGAGAAAGCCCTGGGTTTTTTTCCAGATGCATGGGGAGGTCATGACTCTGGTGTAGCGCCAGAAAACCCAGCTTCTTTCTGAAGCCAGTTTTGCATTTCCCAGACTGTAATCACTTGTGAAATTCTAGGAGCTGAAATGCTATCAAATCTTTCAGTTGCCACCTGTCCAGACAGCTGAAAGGGGCAGAAGGTTGCATAACTAGATAGTGTAAGTTTAGAGCAACCCTGAGACTGAATCAGCCCTTGATCAGAAGGCTATCCCCTTCAATTCAAAGCGTGTTTCATAGTCAGAATGCACAAGAATCCAAAATTTTTACATACTACCAGGTTCACAAAGCAAGGTTCTTTAGTTTTTCACATTTATTGTCTGGAGTATATACTAATACCAGGCAGCTTTCCAACTTACCCACCATCTCCAGGGTATTGACATCTATGGTACCTCCAACAACTCCCCCTCTGGAGTCCAGCTGTGATCTTCCCAAGCCAACAGACATGCTGATTTCCCGATCTCTGCTACTACCCACAGACAGACGACCCTGGCTTTTCAAACCACTGGTGGTCCACCTAGAACAGAGGTGAAAATAGACAACAATTTTCCAGGCTGTCAAAAGAGAAACTGAAAATTATTTACTGGAAAGCAGTAAGTAACGTGGATTAGGTAGATGGGATTAAGATCTACCCAGGATTAAGCATCTACCCAGCATTCATGAGGGGCTTCACAGTTCAAAACTGAAAAAGTTAGGATTTTAAAGCTAGAAGGCAAAAGGCTGTTAACAGTCTGTGGAGAAAATGTTTTGGGTTTTTTTTCCCCCAAAACCAACACTGTCTGTTAAAACATGCTTGATCTTGTTTTATACTTACGTAGTATTGCCCATTACATTGCTCATATTCATTTGAACATTTAATTGTTTTAGGTTCATAGCAAATACAACCAGTGTTTCCCATGGTGTTCCTTGCTGGCTTCCAGCCTTATTTGACTTATTAAATGGAGTTGATGTTTTTGAGAGAGTATCTAAACAAAAAATTAGACAAAAATTTAAATTATTCCACATGCTAGGAAAAACTGGCAGATTATATCCATTGTACATATCACAAAAAGACAGACTAACACCATATTTAAGGAGCACCACAAAACTATGAGTGAGGATAAGTGAGGACTAGAGGATTTGCAATATATGTTGCTTTAGTTGTCACAGAAATTGACTCATTTTACACATTTATTTTAAACATTTATTTTTACTAATATCTTTAAGAGAAATTATTTTTAATTTGCAGTCAGTCATGCAAGAGTACATTTTAAATGATTTAGTTGTTTAAAAATACCAGTGTATTCACAAAATGAATTATTAGTATTTGAATATTCAGGTAGTAATTATTTGCACAAGTTAGAATTTCAAGTATTAGGGTTTTCCTTGCTCTTCTCACAAAACTGGCAGTACTCTTAACAAGCATGTCCAAAATTGCATTTCCTATCAACAAGCCACTCTACCAGCCATAATCCTTCTCCAACTGTGTCTTCTCCTAAAAATTGTTCATATAAAACATCTTGCTTGTGTTCTAAATAGACAAAATACCTGTCCTTTCTTTTCTCACATATTTTTCCTAAACTAAGCACCATACTTCTAAATCTCCTATCTATATCTAATGCCATAAACATCCCACACAGCCAGTGCTACACTGCTATAAGATACAATAACATTTGTAGTAAAAGACATTAAAAGTTACTTTATTATATTTTATTATTGAAACTACCCTTATTTAGACCTCTCAGTATGAGCCCAAAGTCTCAGATGAAAGGAAATAACCGAGCTCACCTGTGAGCTGTGGTATTAACCCTCTGCCAAGAGCCTGGTAATTGCTTGGATGAGAACTGAGAGCCAAGAAGGTGACAATGCAATCAAATCAACCTGGAGAACTCATCTAATCCCAGCTAAACAGCTCCTGCTCTCGTAAAGGAAATGACCATTTTATAGAAAGTACGCTAACAAACTACACCTTGATTCGTCCATTTCCAACATCTTCCTTTCTCTAAACCATTGACTCTCCACTCCCAGGCACAGTGGAAAAGAGTATTTTGTAGTTGCTTTCTACAAAGCAGTAACAACATACTTTTTTCATAAAACCGATGGAAATGCTTTAAAAGACTAAAGAAATCATTGTCTACTAACCTCTCTGAGGCACTGAAGAGTCAGACACGCTCCTGGATCTCGTGACAGCAGGAGACTTTAAGCTATGAGATGCTGTCCCGGGTGACATACTGCTGCTTGCATTATGTTCACTAAAAACATTAGGTGATTGTGCCATGTGTGTAAATGAAGCAGATTGGCAGGGCTGCTCCCACGTCCTGCAGTACGCTTTCCGTGATGATTCAGGAGAAAGGTGCTGGCTTACCCCTTCAATTGAATCTGGTGTTCCAGGACCCGATGCTACTAGAAACAAAAAAAAAAAAAGCAGCACATGAAAGGCAGAAAACCTATTTAATTTTTGTTTAACAATATCCTCCCATATACTAAGTAGTATTTAGAGAGTGTTAGAATCTATTTCATTTATCACAACTAAAAGTTTTCCACTGAATTTATTAATATAAGCTCTTGAAATAATTCAATGTTCTACCTCAGAAATTTTCCATTTCTTTCTAGGATTTTCTATTAAACTTATTAGAGTGACTGCACATGGAGTAAATTATAATACATTTATATCTCATCACATATGTAATAATACACAGGCAATAAATGTTTATAAAATTCCTACTATAACCCCTTCTACAAAAAAGTTTCTCATTATAAGACGCAGGATCTTACCTGGCAGATTTATTGTTTGATCACCTAGGAAAAGCCGTCTAGCAATGCTTCTCCTGTACCAGGCCCTTGGAAAGGCTAGAATCTCACTGAGTCGGCGCATATCATATTTAAAAGAAGCAGATCCTATATCACAGACAGCTGAAAAAGAAAAAGAATACACACACAACTGTAAACTCTTAGTAGTAACAGGTTTTGGTAACCAAATCTAGCTAATAGGTGTTCAATATAGTCAAATACTTCTTTATCTAGCAGTATAGTCCCTGCTGTAATAAAAAATAGTTTTCCTGAGGCGTTGCCATTTCTCCAAATCCAATATTAGATATAAACACATTTCATAAAGGCAAGGTGGAACCAAAGAATATAACTGATGTTGGGTCCTACTTGTTTGTATGTGCCTCAGACTCCTCATCGCTCTTTTTGATGAGCAGCAGTAAAACAGATTCAGAATGGCGACAAAGTGAAGAAGCCTATTTAGAGTTTGAGGATTTTCAAACTACTATTTTAATTCCAATGATACACGACAGTGAGGAATAAATGACATATTTTAGGAAGAAGGATTTTTTTTGGGGGGGGTGGGGGGGTGGTGTGGTGGGAAAGAAGCACTACTGGTATAGCTAATATAAAAAATTTACAAGCTAACCAAGCTACTGAGTTGGTCATTGAAACAAATTATGTGAGAACAAATTAGCATTACATGTTCCGTCTCATTGCCGTGTATGTCGTCATATAGTACCACACCGCAGTCATACAGACTTTTGGGGTTCTCAGGAAACAGGGTTAAAAAAATGAAGGCATAGATATTGCTCAACAAATAATAATATTCAAAGACTCTAGTCTCTCAGGTACAAAGCTGATGTATACTATGGGATTTTATACCTGAAGAAAAATATCCATTGTGCCATTAGGTGGAAAATAACCCCCCCCCTCTTTTGCATGCTAAGACCACATAATACAGTTGACATACTAAGATTACAACTAAATAATGACTTGAAATCACTTCCTTCTGATAATACTCAACAAATACCTGCAATACAACTAAAATGACATGTAACTTAAAGCTGACTAAACCCAAACAATTTAGGCATTATCTCTTGTGGCTTGGCCCCAGCTAACAGCCAAACACCCACTGAGCTGCTCACTCATTCCAGTCTCCTGTGGGAGAGGGAGAAAACAGAAGGAAGGCAAGGAAACTTGTGGATTGAGGTACCAGCAGTTTAAGAGGGAAAGCATAAGCTGTGCATGCAAGTGAAGGAAAAAAAACCTAAGAATTATAGACTGCTTCCCATTGGCAGGCAGATATGTAGCTATTTGCTGGAAAGCGCGGCCTCAGGACACCTAACAGCTGCTTGGGAAGACAAATGTCGTAACCACCAATAGCCCCCCTTCCTCTTCCTTTCCCTGAACTTGTATTGTAAGTGCAACATCATATGCTATAGAATATCCTTTGGATCAATTCAGGTCACCTGTGCTGGCTGTGTCCCCTCATTGGTAGAGTGGGAAAAAGAGGTGGCCTTGAGGCTGTGCAAGCACTGTTCAGCAATAGCCAAAATTTTAACTAAAACTTCAAAGTATCAATCCCTACTTCACCCCAAAAGAGCAAAATTTTTACTACACACTACAAGTAGATGGCTCTCATGTAACATCTACAAAAGCTGCTGAGAGTAAAGTCTATCACTGGAACAGCAGTCCTCTAATTAGCTGAATAGATGGGATTAAAATGAAACAAGCATTTACCAGATATGTTTATCAACGTAGTATCTATCTTGCTGGTAGCTTTGCTGGCAGACTGACTCTCAAAAAAGGAAGAACCTCCCGAACGCCTTATTCGTGACAGGCTGACTTTCACAAACTCAAGGTTAATGCTCAAAGAATCCTTTCGGCCAGTAACTGAAGTTGGCTCCTCATCCACGTTACCTAGAAATAGAAAGGAAAAAGTTTAGTCTTTTGTGACCTTTTCAAATCTTCAGTTTAGAAAAATTATGCCAAACTTGAACAGTGTTCATTAAAACAAACAAAAACTTGTTCTGTACCTAAGGCTCCTGATCCAGGGGTTAGAACAGTAACAGCAGATTTTTGTTTTCCAGCTCCGTATGGATGGAACACGTAAAGGGAAAAGTCGGACATACAGGCGGTAAAGCTCAGGCCTGAAGAGCTGCTACTAGAAGTAGTCAAGTCTGACTGACTGCTGCTGTGCCGCGTTCTGCCAAGCGGGCTGCCTAGTCCAGGTGACGAACCTGAAGTAAATTTTTTTTTTTTTTGGCAAAAGTTAGTTTTAGTACAAAAGCATTTTCAAATGTGAAATAATATTGACTGTTAATAGCAATATTACACAGACCAAACGCACATCAAGTTATGCCCTTGTAGTAGCAATGTAGCTTAAATATTCTATATGTATTGGTGCTAACCTTTTATAAGGGATAACTCAATGCAAGAAAAATTTCAATATACTGTATCTGTGCAAGCTTTTATGGGAAACTGATACAACATGAAGAAATCCTACTGAACTCACTAACACATAAATGTCTAGCCTCAAGGTGTGTAAAAGCTTATCTTCTGCTCTAATTTTACACAACAAAGATTATATTTATGCTACACGCTGTATATAGTATAAACATTCATATCTATATTACCTGGTGCTCCAGATTTACTAACTGAATTCTTTGAGCCACTCTGTGAAGTATTGCCACCAACTGACACGTTTTCCGACGGGTACGTTGTGCCTAATGTTTCCAGTTCTCCTCGGTTTGAAGAGAAAACAAGATCCAGGGAAGGCAACTTCAGCATACATTCAACTCTTGATACCGGCAAGCAACTGAACTTGATTTGAGAGGGCTGAAAGACAGAAAGTAAAACATTCAATGAACAAATATGAAATACTAAAAACATCCCAAATTGGGCTTATAAAGTGCGATGTATTTTTTAAATCTAAGCAAATTGCAGCCTTTTTAGAGTGGTTTTAGAATTAGTAAGATAACCGTATACAAGTTGATATAGATACATTAATTTCAGAGAATCCCTCCAACACCAGGGGTATTATTTTGACCAGTTTTTGGAAAACTCAGACGCAGGAACCCTGGATGCTGCAGAGGACGCGTACATCCCCCTCTCTTCCTCCTCCCCCAGTCAATTCATAGTTCATCTCATGCAAGACCTACACAGAATCACTTGAGCTGATGCTGAAAGCCTCAGCTCCCTTCACCACATTCTTGGCCAGATGAGTTTGCAAGTAAAAGTTGAGAGAGGCTACAGATTGTTGTGGTTAATTTTCGTAAGTGTCAAAAAAAAAAAAAGGCATCTGTTAGAATATGTTGTTCAATTTGGGAACATAATCAAATTTATACCAGGAAAAAATGCCGTTTGAGCCAAGTGGAAAAATATAATAGCAATGCTGAGATCAAACTCAAGTGCTCTGAATCACTCTGCAGTAGCACTTTTCTGTCTTACACATGTAAAAAGCCCAGACACATCAAATATTAAGTAGTGTGAATAATACCCTGCAGATAACAACTACATCCTACATTTTACATATAAACTGAGAAAATCTTTAATTATTATTTTTGTTTTGTAATGGTACCTATACACAATGGCTAGCAGTACTAGTTATGACAGATATTTTCAAAAAAAAGTCCAAAAGAGACAAGGAAGAAGTAATGATGAAAAATGCTCAGAATTTTTGTGACTTCTCAAAATAGCTCATTTCTTTGGTCTCCATGGCACTAAAATATCTCAGAACTTGTGCTGAAGTAAGTCCTATTTTATCATCACACTAGACATTAATGTCTCAGAAAGGATATTTGAAAATAATTTTTTTAATTTTTAAAAAGCAAACTTAGAAGCATGGATTGTCTTAAAGACTGTGACTGAAGTTATTTCCTATACTGAATGTTGAGTTTAAATCTCACCTGAACGCGTACATAAACTACCACATCTACAGGGAAGGATGAATATGCTGATGTCGAGGATGATACTAATGATGTTGTGGACTCTTCCAAGGGATCTTGTATATCGAATTGTCCCATGTCTTCATCCTGTGAACTAACAGCTTTTAACAAGTACAAGAACTCATTAGAAAGTGGAATTTAAAGGGAAGAGCAGCTCAATGCACCGGAAGACAAAAAAAGAAAAAGCGTAGAGTATTAGAAAACAAATATACAACTTACCTGTGTAATTCCTTTCAATGGGTGTAATCGGAATGGTTTCAAGAGCTTTCTCTAGAAAGTCCAGTAAGCACGGACTAATCACCATTTCCTCCGGCAATGACTGGAGAGCAACCCATGCATACAGTTTAGCAGTTTTCACTCCACCACTTCCTTTCCCTTTGGCTGCAACACGTAAAAGATAAATTTGTCTAATGTGATACCACTCAACAGTAACCAATAAACGTTAGAAGATACTTCATAATTAACAGGTGTTTCCTCTAATTCTCTGTATCATCATCTAAAAAAGCATAAATCAGATCAGTTAGAAAAAATTAAGCCTTAAGTTTTCATCAAGAAAATTGTGCAAACCCTACAATAAGTCTGTCATGCTTGTCTGTAATTCCATTGCACATGTTCGTGACCAAGCATTCTTATGTCATTGTCACCACTTCGCTTTTAAAAAATAGCGCTGAAATCAGACACACACAGTTCTTCTCCAAATGCACAATGTAAAGTAACCACAGCTGACTGGAAAGGAAAGTGGAATTAAGAAAAACAAATATATGACCCTGGGAAGAATGTCAGTTTAAACTGAGAAAATACATCAAAAATTAAAACTGTAAATGACAAGTTCAACTATATTTATGCAAAGATTCTAAACGAGCATTTTTAAAAGCTTGGAGCTAGCCAGAGTATAAATTAATAAAAAGATTCTTGTCTTCTAAATCTGTGGAAGCAGCTAGGCACTTGGATCCACGCTCACCAAAATACAAATATACACAGAAAATATTAATACCACCTCAATTACTGTCTCTATGAATAAATACAGCTATTAGAATGGAGATAAACAAAGACACTGATTTTAAATTCACCAAGAAAAATATAAACATTAGCAACTAAAACAAAGCTTTAAAATCCTTTTATTTGCTAAAACCTCAAGCACTGAATTTTCATTCTATGCAAACTATTCTGTCTAGTGTCTCTGACTAGATTGTCCTATCTTGCTCTGACTGGAGACCAAAGACAATAAGATAAGGTGGTTTCCATTCCAGAGGAAAAGTAATATAAATAAAAATAAGTGTGTTTCAGAACTACTAAATATTTATAAAAACACAAGGCATAAAGAAATACAGTAATTGCAATCCCTAGTTTTGGGAGACATTTATATCATCATACAAATGCAATTTCCATACACACACCCCCACCCTCACCCTCCCCCCCTGCAAACATAGAGCTTAGAGAGAAAACCAACAAGACTCAGTAACTGGACATGACGTGGTAAAAATTAAAAGGCAAAGATTGGAAAGAGGATAGGAAAATACAGAGCAAAATTGAAGAAAAGTAGTACAAACCAAGATTACACAACATTCAGTAATCGTAATGGACACTTAAAAGAGTAAGAGCTCATGGTTCAATAGCATAGATAATTGAGAAAGGCGTCCCCATTTCACTGTTCTCTCCCAGCATCTCTGCTGGTTTCATTAAAAAAACCAACACACAAACAAGAAACACCCCACACACTTTTTTGTGTTATTAATTGTCCCTGCTCATTAAATTTTGACAGAATTTTGGCTTTGCTTTTAAAGTTATATTCAAATGCCGAAGGAAAGAAGAGTGAACGTCTCAGAAGCGGGAGGTGCAATCTACATACCTCTAGATCTGACAGGATGTAACAACAGACTCCTGCTTGAAAACAGGAATCATTGGAGATAAAATAAAGCTTTAAATATTAGAACTCATATTACTCTAAATTACGGTTATTTAAGGGCCTGCAACAGTTGAGGACACTAGTCTGGTTTTTTGATTAATACAGATACATCTAAACAGCTGCTTCCGTACTACAAGAAATAACCCAGTTCCAGAAAGCAATAATTTACACATTACTTGTGTGGCAGGAGGCACTTAAGAGCTGAAAGTATTCTCTGAATAGTGTAATGTATGGAAGCAAGGATTCATCTCAATTTTTTTTCTTGGATTATGAAGAATAAAGCAGTCAGCATTCGCTTTTAATACACATACTTACACTTTGCTTTCCAGTAATAAGCATTATTTTGTTAAATGAGAACAGGTAGAAGGCAGTGACAGCCCATCACTGGGATATGGTGACTAGGACAGAAATATTACCCAGACTGGTTTGGCAAGAGATTTCTAAAAATGCAGCTTTATGAACTGCATTCATGCTTCTGGGATCGGGTTTCCGCAGCCAAAGTTAAGACTTGACAAATTCAGTGCACTTCAGGTAATGCACAGACAGATCTAAAGCTAGTAGATTACATGAAGAATAGATAGATAGATATCCATGAGAGTTTTAGAAGGTTATCATCTGTAAGTACCTGATGGGATGGGTGGGGGTTGGGGAGGAAGTAAGGTGTTAGTCTTGCTGTGGATAGTGCTAGATAAAGGAGGAGATGTGGCAGTATCTTTCATACCATACAGCTTGGACTCTTTGGAAAGGGTTCTTGGCAAAGAGGATCCTCGAGAAGTATTTGGCGATTCAGTCTTTAAAGTCTTAGAGTTGTAGTGCAACTGGAAAGCAAAGACAGATCAATTTACTTCATACAAGTAGCTCAATTTCTATACAACAGTTTGGTGTCATTCCTCCCCTTCAAAAATTGGTTTTGGTCATTCTAAGATACATTACATTTCAATTCATGTTCTACAGATATAGCTGGTGCATCCTAAAGATCTGGACTCTTTATACAAAAAAATAGATAAATTAATAAAAAAATAATCAAGGAAACAGAGAAAGAGAGGAAATGAACTATTTAGGAACAATGCCTAAATCTCGCTTCTCTGCTCTGTTACATCATACACATCCTGTGCTACCAACTATTTATTCTTGTCCACATAGCTTTCTGTCTTACTGCACAGTGGAACTATTCCACTACTAAACACTGTCATACAGAAAGCTGCATTAAAAAATAGAAATAATAAAATATTCCAAGAGTTCACATCTCTTATTGTGTGCATAATGCACTATCAATGAAAATACAGAACATAACCAAAGCTGTAGAGAATGTTTAGTTATTCCTAAATTTTACTAAAAGCAACGGGCAGAACCTGAAGCACAACTGCTATCCCTGAAGATACCCTGGAATACTGGAAAATGGACACACGTAGCCCTTCCACATCGAAAGGCTAGAAAAGCCAGGCTGTTTCAAGTGAGGAGCATTTGATTTATAGCATTGCCTCAACTGAATTGCATGAAGCTTCCATGCAGCAGTGACCTATTTTTCCGGTTCTTACTCAACAGGATGTCAAGTCACAAATACAAGGAACATTTCTGTTGAGACCCTTTGTTACTAGGATATAGAAACAATGATTAAAAAAACAAGGGAGTGTACAGTTCCATGGTATTTGAGAGAACACTGTCTTAAAAACCCACAGTTTTTATACCAAGACTCTGACTGCTCTAATAAGCAATGCAGCAGACACTAAAAGTGGGCCAACTACTAAGCTGCCCTTCCCATGAATTACTGACAGAGAACAAATCTTCCTTTATTTAAAAAGGGCATACAATATAAATTGCCTGTCAGAGAAGAAAATATCCAAAACAAATGTCTAAATTTAGACACCAAAATGTTAATGGAACTGATTTCTTATAAATTTTGTAATATCACGTACACTGTTTGTCATGGAGCATCATTTGACATAGTTCTGGTTTTGATGGTACATACAAGATATTGTTCCCCCTCCCCTTCCTCCCAAGAAAATGAGGGTTAAAACATCTGTCAGTTTTTAATGTAGTATTACAGAAATCATTATTCCTATTATAGCAGTATCTACGTAACTGAAAAAAGATTTTATCAAGGTGTTCTGTATATATGAACTTGTACACACAGTAACAATGTATTTGCTTTGAAATCATACGTGAGCAGAGAGAAAGAACAAATGCTTCCTTGTCGAGTTATACACTCCCTTTACCTTTACATCCACCCCAGGAATATAAAACACCGTTGTTTCCACATCGCTAGATTTTGTCTGCAGAGATGATGGCACTTTCTTGCCAGCAAGTAAGTGAGTAGTAGATGCATAATTAGTTTGAAATTTCTTCTTTTTTGAAGGAGACTCTTGATCCAAACTTCTGGAACTCCGATCATAGCTCCTAAAATGAATACACTGCATGTTATTAAAGCACGTTTAATACTCATTATTAAGAGTATATTTTCTAGTATTAAAAAACCTAGTGATGTCTAAACCAAGTTTGTAATATCGACTGTATAAGGAAGCATTTAAATCTCTGCTTTATACTTTGTGACCCTCTTTCTGTCTGCCCACTCTGGTTTCACCATTTTCATTATGTGATTATTTCAGGCAGTAAAATCTACAAAATTATTGTCACATCATTAGAGAAACACCTTGCAATGCTTTGTATTCTTACAGTCAAGTTCATCTACATTACCCAACATGACCTGTGAAAACTCTTTGAGATGCAGAAAACACTGCTCAATTTTCCTTTTCTGCTGTAAAGCCTGTCTTCATACAAATTCTTAAGAGATTCTTTTTCCTTCTGTATCAATTCTTAGAAAAAAGTGTCTTGGAAAGACAGAAACCAAATTGCTTTCTAATTACAGATCTCCTACGTATAATTCTCAGTAAGAAAAAGTATTTCTCATTTGTTCCTGTTTCTTACAATTAGAGTTAAAACAAGTAAATCTCATTTCTTTATACTATACTTTAAGAATTATCTTTGCTGACAAATGTTTCTTAAAATTCACCATATTATTAATAAACATATCAAATTTTAAAAAGTGGCCATTACATCCCCAATCACATACACATGAAAAAAGGAGAATTTAAAAACTGAGGATGAGATGAAACCTCATTAAGATCAGAAGTAAAGCACTTCTGTTGCCTCAGATTATAAAAAAATGCATTTTATTAAGCAAGATACATAACATCAGCATGCTTTTACACTCAAAAATAATAGGAGCCCTCAGAGATCATGAGAAGACACACTAGGAGCCCCACTATTACTCAAACCATTACATAGATTCACTACATTGGAAAGTTACTTTTTTGGAGACTGAAAAAAAACACAACCCCAAACAAGCGCTTTGAAAGCCTAACATTTTGTTTATGAAAGATAAAACAGGATTTAAAAAAATAAAAACAGAAGAGGCATACGCTGATTTTTGCTAAACAAATGCAACTCCTCATGCCATACTCGGCCATAACAATTGCAACTTATGGTGAGGCTATGATGTAGTGATAATTACTACAAATAAAGTGATAGTAACAAACTAATGCATATCTCTTCTATGCTTTTCAAACAGGTCAGTGCTTAAAAGTCATTAATTATTGACCATATGGTCATAACTTAAGCAATGGAAATATCAGATGGACTTAACAGCTAAAGCAGAATAAAGTACTCATAGTTACCTTATGAAGTACAGGGTAACACGTTTCTTACCTTCGTAAACTGATGTCATCATGTTCTTGCTGAAGCATTGTAGGGTGCAATACACATTTTCCACAATCAATTTCAACCCTGATATCAAGTTCAAAGTCAATATTTCTCTCCGTGGTTGTGCCAGTCATACTTCTGTTGGTAGGTGTTGTTGGCCAGCGCTCGGTGAACAGTTGGTGGACAGCAGCGAAGCCTGTTGCTTTCTTGCGAGAGGTACTCCTGTGGATTGGGGATTAGATATTAGCATGACATGTACTTGAACAGATGGTAGAAGGCATTCTTCGACTACATCCACACTCAGTATATAATCTTTTAAGAACTCTTCTGGAAAAAGCCTTATGTGATACACAGCAATAGAATCATCCATCTTCTATTAACACATTACCAAGTATCCTTTCTTAGAACAGGGTACTACAAGGAACTAAGCCTTTCTTAAATTGTCAATCAAAAAAAGGAACAACAAGTTATAAACAATAGTTTTAATATTTGTAAATATTTGCATTATTACATGCACTTTGTGGAGGTGTAATCACTGGATAAAACAAAGTTATGCTGTATTTGACAAATCTGTCATTTGGTCCCACTAAAACCTGCTTCATGCCTCAGAAAACTCACTTTCCAAGTTTTTATTCTGTGCCAAGCCCTGAAATTTCTAACAGTTGCTTCCTTTCCAGATCAGAATTCCTCCTTCCCTCACAGTCGAGCACAACCTCCCCTGCCTTCCACATACATACTTCAGGCAAAATTCAATCCTTCATCAGTTAGAGATTTTGTAGCTTTAAAGTCAGTATTTCAAGTGTATTTTCCTAATTTCTGTGTTGCTCATAAGGACCGTTACTTACGGTGGTTTCCTACAAAAATAGGGCCTCTCTCTGTCATGGTCATCCTCCTTCTCAGAGTCCTCGCTGCTTGATGATAAGCTGTCATCCCGGCGTCCTTCTTCAGGCTGGAAGGGAATGCCGGGTGAGAAGACTACTGGAGTTTTGGGTGAACCAAATACCGAGCATGAGCCTTCACTAGTAGATGAGTAATGGGAGGGACCATCAATAGTTACAGACAAAAGGTCCATTTCTGTCTCCTCTGGAAACTGATTATAAAAAGACAAAAAGATATTAAGTTTCCACAGATATTGTTTGCATTGAGAATGCATTAGATAGCTCTGGAAATAAAAAAGCAAGAGTGCTATAAAGAACTCTCACTCCCAAGTTCCTCATAATACAGAGGCAGCAGGTGCAGAAATTGCAAGACAGATTATGAAAAAGAAAGAAATGAAAGCGTGGTAGGGAGACTTTTGCCATTGCCTAGTGATTGAGCTCAATCCGTTAGCTAAATACGTATCATGCTCTGATCAATTCACGTGATCAGAAGAAATGGAAACATTTCATTTAAATTTTAAAAATATTTTGAAAGAATAAAAGACAGCAAAAATTGTCATGAACCTTGCAGAGGGGCGAGGTACCCAGGAGTGTTAGTGAGGCGTGCATGCAGAACGCTAACACAGAATGTACGGCACCGGTTTGCAGTTCTGGGCTGTGCTCTTGGGCAAACGTGCTTTAACACGAAACAAACTTCAGGCCAAATTGCCAAAAGGGGCCTCCTGTTTCTCACTTAACGCACGCCACAAGCGCCACACGAGTAATTTTTGAACGTTAACTTCTTTAATATGCATGTGAACACGTTAGTTTAACACCAGCACTGCCTATGCAGTGTTACTATAGAGCTACACAGTCGTTATCTGCAAATTCAAATTAAAGCTTTAGTGAAGTTAAGAACTGGCATTATAATGTCACAGTAAGATTTATTTTGTTTAAATAGTCAACATTTGATATATTTGCGCTTTTGATAGCATTTTGCTATGCCAACAAAACTAACTGGGCTTATATATAACAACAACAAAGGCAGGATACCTTTTAGATATGAACATATTTAAATGTGCAAAACACATTTCTATGTTTCATTTCCACCTCTGTCTCAGAAATAAGAATTTATTTCCTGGGAGTGTCAGGTGAGTTGGAAGGGAGAAAAGGTATGGTACTATCTCTTGAGTTTTTTTGTTTGGTTGGGCTTGTTTGGTTTGGTTTTTAGTTTTGGTTGGGGTTTAAGGAAAAAAAATAATCTTTACTAGTTTCCAAACACATGTTTTTTAAAGCAGTTAAAAACTCCACTATTTTTTCTCTGGGTATTAAGTTTTGGCACATTCCCTACTCACTATTATTTAAAAATGTCTTACTCTGCATTAAATATAGGAATTCCAACAGAAATAAGTGTGAGATGTCCTCCCACCTAGCAATTATTCTGTACTGGTGTTGATGCTTGCCATCTTGGAATAAAGTAACAGATGAAGACAGCTGCACACACACACGCTAAAATCCTCTTCTAAAGCACAGTCTCAAGGCTATACTTCCATCTTTTTACATCTGCCTTGATCAGAGTCTTCATAAATATACAAACAAAACTCCAAGAATTCATTTTACAAAAACTACCAAGCTTTAGGTCTATGTAAGGGTGTAGAAACACTCTGGAAAGTTCATGGACAACCAATTATGTTCTTTTGCTTACTTTACATATTTAGATTTAAATATTTTAAAATTTGATATACATTCTGTTTAGCTGAGTGCAAAAGAGATGAAACATCGAGGAGCAGCTCCCTGTGAGATAAATTAGTTCTCTGGCAAAGAATACTTGCTTCTTCTCAGAAATACCTGAAAATACCCTTCCCCTGGACAGCTGGATTGTTGTGCAATCCCCAAAGCTGTTTTATTCAACTTAATTAGAAGTGAAAAAAATATATAAATTAAAACAATTACAATAATCTCAGCCATGCAAAAACAACATAATAGGAACATTTTAAAAATGAGAAAACACAGCAACAAACACACCAAAGATGCAACAATCCATTTCAAAGACACAGAAGGATATATCTGTAGGGCTACAGCAAGCTAATACCCATTTCCAAAACACTAAACAGTCAAACCCAAAAAATACTAGATGATTTTTTGAACGCTTCTGATAAAAGTGAAACTACTGTACTACTATGTGTGTCAGCCTAAAAGAAATATACCATTTTCAAGTATTTTCCCTAGTATTTCAATTAGATTCTGTGTTAAGAAACCAAAATACATCTGTGTTCTACCAAAACAAATCTAGCTTCCAAAAATACATTCATAATTTAACGTGCACGCGCATATACACACAAAAACATACAAGCAATTCAGGTCTGCCTAACTATACCTATGTCATGAACTTGTGACCAAATGGCACAGGAAATATAATTATATGGCATATAAAGTAATTCTTACAGAATCCTGTATGTTGAAAGTTACTCTTGGCCCAGGAGATGCAGCATCTACACGGATATCTGGGAGGTCTTCACTGTCTCCTAGTCGAGAGCTATAAGCAAAACCAAAATACAACAGCTTGTTGAGTTTTACTATAGGATTTTATGTTCGTGCAAACAGTTAACTACAGAAATATAATACAATAAAAAAGTACAGTCAGTACTCACCATTTTGGTATGGAAAAAAGTATAAAATTATAACTGAAGTGCTGTGGGTACACGAAAAGGAAAAAGGAAGTGGAGAAGGAAGCTACACATTACTTGGTTAGTAGTCTATCGCTAGCCAATCTCTGCTTATTTCTTTATGTAAGTTTTCAATCTTGAGGCAACAAGTAGAAATTATAGGAAAATAAAGATATTCGGGATCACATAAGACAAAGCAAATTGGCAGATTATGTATTCTCTGATGCAAATGAAATTAATAGTTCTGAAAACACCCTTAAGTTGTTGTAGAAGTGGAAACAACTTCTCACTTGACTTACTATTCAGTCTGTCAAAAAAGAAGTTTCAAAAAACAAAAAAAGGTGAAAAGTTGCTTTTTAGAACATGTCTGTCTTCCAAAATGACCTGCTCCCATCCAGTTCTACCACGCAGAAATGCTGAGGACTCTGAGGGCCCAAGTCCAATGTTTCTTCTGTTACATATGCTGCTGCTGTTATCACAGATCTTAAATCCCCAGAAGCTTACCTTGTTCTGTCCATTCTCTTCAGAGGTGGTCTTCCTGATGCTGAAATACTCTTAGATCGGCTATAGCTGGGTTTGTAGCTGAGACCCCATTTGTCTTTCAAGGAGGCAGCCTAAAACAAAAATAAAATTTAAATGCAACAGTGATATCACAGAGAAAAACTCTGGCAAGCTAAAATACTATTTTACAGAGGTGTGCCAGTAAAGTAAAAAGATTTTTTGTTCCTAATAGTTAAATTGCATCTCATTATCAGCATTTGCCAGCATCTTCACCCTGGCTCTGGATACATGTTTGCTTTTCACATTTGCTGGAATCGGTAGTGCCCTGTTAGCAGGAGAACAGCAGGCCCAGAGCTAATAATCTGACTGCTTCGACATCCTTTCTAGCTACCACTACAGTAACAGAAGTACACGAGTTAAAATGAGAACACCTGAGGAAGGGCTGCAAACAAATTACTATTTGAAAGATCTTTTCATATTAATGAAGCATCCTACTTGGAGCTCATGCACTAGGACACACTGAAAATAACGTCTTGCCAGATTTGTTATCAGGGTCTGGGATAACAGCCACACGTTTGTGAATTACCAGCAACACTGCTTGGTTTCTTGTCCAGTTTCTTCTAGCATCTATCCTTAGTATCTTGGTTTTATTTTTACATCACCTAACTCTGCAATTATACTGTTTATTTATACGTAGAACACACTTATAGCAAACACACATGCCAAGTGGACTACAACTAGTATCTGTGATTTGTCCCAGGCAGTTAGTATACTTGCCTCGGCATCTGCATTCATCAGTCCAATAAGAAATCATTTTAAAATCTGCTAAGAGAAGGACTAAATAACATCTTCAAATACACATTCTCTATTTCTTGTGAGTGTGCAAATAAACTCATTTACATTATAGTATCTGTGATATTTCAATTTTCCTACCATAATTATTACAAGGGAGAAAAATCTTTCCCCTCCCCTTTCCTAAAACTAAACAGGTTGCTGAACTACGTGATATTCTTAACCTTCCTTTTTGCTTAGTAACATTTTCTTTGCTTTAATCAACATGCAGAAAAGAAATATACAATGCAAGTGCTATCATTTTTTAAAGCAACTTAACACTGCTCACCCTCATACTGGATCTACGTAGCTTTTTACGAACATCTCGGCGGATATCATTCACAGCCACCGACTCCAGTTGTTGATAACGCTGAATCTCTTGATTTATAGTTCCTTCACTTGCACCTAATTTTCTGGGGATAAATCATGGTTGAGTTATCTTACAAAGATTTCAAAATTTGTTGCAATGATTTTCTGTTTTCCCTGGGAATTATCCCATTTTCTCAGTTTTTCCAGTAGTTACTTATTACCAGACCGATTTAGCTGCAGAAGATTGATGATATAACTTTTTGTCAGGTATAATATTTTGTCCTTGAGAGGACTCGTAGATTTTAAGGTCTCTATCTCCAAGTGAATCAGCAGAGCAGATCGAGGACGTAGAACAAACTAGCATGCAAGGAGATGCTCCAAAACCAGTGCTACCATGATGCTAACTACGGTGGAGAATAAGAACGGCTGTCCAGCAACTCTCTCATTTCAAAAAGCCCTAGTTGTAACAACTAGATTAAGGACCTCCTATACACTTTCAATCACATGACAGCTATTTACTTAAAAACAAACATAATGGACAAATGTGAGGATCTCCAGCAGGATGAAGAAAAATCCTTCTGCTGTAAGCCTTCTGCAGCAGATTACCTTCTGCATAAAAAACACACTCCTAAATAATTTTTAAAACTCTGTAAAGCAGCCTCTATTTTGAAAGAATCACAGTTTACTGAAGCATTCATAAATTGAGAAAAGGCAGGCACAAAACATAATTTTCATTCTTGAACTCATGTTAGAAGAAACATTTAACCGAAAATCCAAAGTTCAGTTACAACTGCCCTCTGAATGATGACAGCAATTTTATTCCAAATACAAGCAGTGAAATATGTCTCCTCTTCATTATTTAACACATAATTACCAAACTCTGTATTCCCATCCCAGACAGATCCATTTATAGCAAGTCTATGTTAAGGAAGGGGGGGGGAAAAAAAGGCAAGCCAAACAGACTATGACCATGAAAATTATTAATAAAATTCACAGAAGTTCAAATGAAATTTATGAAATTTGAAATAATTCTTTCTTCAAGGTTTTCTCAAGTACAGCGTAGGAGATTTAATTTTAAAATATCACCTACAAGATGCAAAAATAGTCGATTTAAATATTTTTCTTCTTTCAGTGAAAGAGACTAAGCTTATTACAGTTATAAAGTAATACATTTTGTTAAAGTAATCACCATGATAATAAATCAAGATGGAACTATGATTTTCAATCAATAGGAAATTGATTATAATTAGCCATTGTAATGCAGAACCAGAAAGAATACATACTAATTTGACACTTGGGGAAGAACTTGAGAAATTTGAGTGAGTACTTGCATATATTGGGGTTTTTTATGGAATCCAAAAGTACGATTTTTTTATTTTTAAATAAAGACAACGATTTCCACCTGACCACCACAATGCCACAAGACTTGTGGTAAGAACAGAAAAGAAAAAAAAAGTCAGCTGTTACTCCCAAACTTTGTGCAAGTTAAAGCAAAACCCAACTTACTTTAAATCATCAATAACTTTAGCTTGCTCATTGAGTTCTCTAATATCAACTAAACGTTTCATAAATTTTCTTCCTCGCTGTTCTCCAGTTTGGATACTAGAAGCTCCCTGTCGTCGGTGATCAACAATCTCCTATTTAAAGTAAACAATTAATTAATGCCCTCATCAAAAATTGGACATTAGTGTGATTTAACACTAGGCAAAGTAAATTTCACACCATAAAATTTGGACTAGTGCATGCAAAAGAATCAGTTTCATCTCAAGAGGCAGCTGATTGGATTTTTTTTCCAGTGATCCAAACCCCATCATTCAATTAGACACACGGTAACTACTACATACATGTCCCCATGAGCAGGATCTGCCTGCTTTCATTTGTGATCTGCTAGACTGAAGAGAATCACACTTCGCTGACCCCAATAGATATTCTACAGGAACAGAGTATCGATGGTTTGGGGGGCTCAAACCCAGCAGGTGATTTACAATCCGCTGCCCAAATGTTAGCTTGCGTGCATCGCCACATAATGAACCTCCACCTGATTTCTAAACAACAAACAGGCACGTTAGTCTTCTGGGATAATGTTTTCCCTGTTGGCTATTTAAGATAGCTATTCAAGAACATCTGTTAAAGTGTTTTGATGTGAAATCAAAGAACAACGTCAGCAGCATATTGCGTAGAAGTACCGAAAAATAATTTTTTCTAATTTGCTCATGTTTGTAACTTATTCTTTTGTTAAGAAAACTATCTACAGCCACAGCTTTTCCAATTCAGGCACCTAAAGTTAGGTATTGTGTCTCCACATTTTCAAATCTAGACCAGTATTTCCACATAACACCAGGAGAAATATGATCTATGATTTCTTGCCTTTGAAATACAGAGTTAGAAAACTAATACACAAACTTTTCTGATTTGCAACAAGAGTTCTATGAGCTATAAGTAGCAGCACACTGGACTCAACTCAAGACTAAGATCTTTCCATTTGACTGAAGACTTTGTCACACCTTTTCCAATTAGCAGCACTTTTAAGTTGATTCACTTACCGCATGTATAGTGGGAGACATAGTGTCAACTTCATCCTCATCTGAAAGGTCTGCTATGTTTACAGAGTTGAGGTCAGCAATATCATCAATATCTTCTTCTCCTGTCAAGGTTGTGAGGGTGTTGCCTAAAGCATTCAATCTTTTCCCAATGTTTGGATCCATGTGGACATCGATACCACACATCTTCCATAACACATTCAGTGTCCAGGTTCCAGCACTACTACTTTCTATATTAAAAAAAAAAGTTTCAGCAGTTTTTCCTCTTTTAAAAAATCCCCCCTACTGACTTACATATTAGTTAGCCAAGGCAGTGTTTATCAGTTAGAAAGAACAGTCTTTTCTGCCCACTCTGAGGAAAACACATTCCACAACTGAAATGCTTGCGGGAAGTACTTCACAGCTACGAAGTTACTATTTCTTTAACAAGTGATGTACACAGACAAACCTAACGAAAATATGCTCCCTTCAGCCAAGCTGATGACCAGGAGAAAGCACCTCAAACTTCAGCTCTTACAATTGCAGCCAAGTATACTATTCCAGAACAGGTTTTCTAACAGCAAGAAACCTAAAGGACCTCTATCTGCATGTAAAAGTGCTGAACTATTTACAGTTTCAAGTCTTGAATAATGATGCCGGAAGATGTTATAATATGGGTGTGATGTGCCTGCTGAAGATCCTGTCTTGCAAGGATTTTTCTAGTGAGTGCCACCTTTCAGCATCAAAATACAGAACTTGCTTTAAGCAGAACTACACAAGATACTATTTTTCCTTCTAAATGGATTCATCCTGGTTTTCACCATTCACAATTCCACGTGGGGTAAATTTTTAATAGTTGCAGCATGTGTTTCATTTTTATATCTCCTTAGAACAAAAAAGCAAGCAGGGGACAATGAGCAAAACTATGGGGAGAGGAGACAGCATAGATGCAGCATTTGGGCAAAGAGATAAAGAAGCAAGCAGCATGTACGATGACCAAGACTGAGATCACCAAGTATTTTTGAGGCCTCTGGAGAGCATCCAAACAACTCAGTACTAGAGACTGAGAAGAAAGGGAGTTTGGGAAGAGTGGAAGCCGTCTCTGGAAAAGATGAGGGAAGAATTTGAGGTCAGGATGCAAAGTCTCAGCGTTAGAAGGACTAGAAGATTTAGCAGTCTGTAGGACAGGAAGCAGAGGACAACCTTGCTGGTATAAAGGACTATTCTCCAACCTAGGAACAAATATATATACACCAAGTGTTTTCCTATAAGTAAAAATCTAAAACCAGTGTCGCTGATGTGACTCAAAACCTGGAATAACTTGAAAAGATGGAGCAGATAAAAACATTGAGGAGTTTTACCAGGAAAACAAGATACTAAACAAAACAAAAAACCAAACTACCAATTAAATTACAACACAGTTAAAGGATTTAAATTTCCTATTTTATGAATGCTTTATTTATATAGAACTTAATTTATTAAAAAAGTGTATTACCTGCTGCAGCCTGTCCTGTTGTCCTAGAACATACTTCATAGGTACCGTCTGGCACAACACCTATAGGAAGCACATACACTGATTAGGCAAGCGGTCAAAAGTGGCTTTAGACCAGCCCTTCCAAATTGTACCTCAGTCTCTTGCCCTCCACAATTGAAGCATGAGTGGTGCTGGACAGGAGGTTTAGTTTTAATTCCCATTGAATGTCTTTTCTTATTTAGTAAAGCGAGTCTACTTGGTAACATCCAAGTTTATATTAATTGAAAATTCCATATAAATTCTAGAATCTTCAGCATAATGAAAGATTATATATATAAAAAGCATCTGTATTAAACTATTAAAAGCTTACTGGGATCTTATGAAATTATATAAAAGCAACACATCCAACTCTTCCAATGAGCTTAAATGATTACAATGAAACATATAGCAACAAACTTTATTAATAAAGGAAAACAACAAAGGAATACAACCTTTTAGATCCATATTATTTTGCTTTCAAAAGGCCAGAGTATTTTCTTTATCTTATTGGGGAAAGTTCAGAAGCTTTAAAAGTCACAGGAAAGGGTAAAAGTGGATTTATATCTGAAATACTATCGTCCAGTATGAAATCACACCCACTTACATGCATTCATGACAAGATCTCCTCTTATTTCTGGTTTCCAGTCATCCCAACTTGTCTCAAAGCCATCAGCAAAGCGGATACAGAAGTTTTTAAAGTGACCTTTGCTAACTAAAGACTCTGAGGAGCAGGCAGTGATTAATGTGCTTTCAATAGTCAGGACTAAAGCAGAGCCAGTGTCAAGATCTGCAGAGTGGTTAGACTGGAAAATAAAATCAAAGAGAGAATTTACTGGGCATTGCAATGTCAAAGTGATACTGTACACACATTAAATGCTATTTGTCCTCCCCTGTTAGAAAACTGATCCCCTTCTCGTATCTCCTCATGTTTTTTCTTCTCTGCAGAAAGTTTCAAAAGCATCACATCTGTCAATACAATGCCTTGCATTGCTGTTTTCTAAATGCAACACCTACATTGTAAATATTAGGGCACCAGGAGTCAAGCTCATCTGGAAAAGGAAAGAAAATCCATGTTTGATCAAGGACTAGACGATTGAGAGCTATGAACGACAGGGCACCATAACCACAGAACACAAGCTGGGATTGATTCTTTTCTCCAAGTAGGGTTGCACATGAGTTGATTGAGCAATGATGAAAAGTAGCTTTAATTGTTATGTGATTTTTTGGGGGCTTATTTTGATATCTACAGTTATGCAGTCTTAAATACATAGATTGACTGATTATTTTCCAGCCCTTTATATATGAAGGTCTATAGTTTTGTTTACCTGCAAAAAAGCCCACATATTGCCCTTTATAAAGCTAAACTTCTTTTGATGCAGTATAAGTATTGTAAACGTACTATTCTATGTACAGCTTAAGACTTCATAAGCCAGAATGTATTTTTTCGGAGTTTACTATCATTTGTAACATGTAAGAGCATAAAATGCCATCTGCTTTGTCCATAGCTGCCAGATAGAAAATTCACAATCAAAATGTTATGTCATTATAACTTATTATTATTATTATTATTGTTGTTAGCCTCATTATTCCTTTACATTTCTACATATTATGACTATTTCCTTCTATAGCACTAGAATGATTCATTCCTGTTCTGGAATTATTCCCCATTAAGAATACTCCCAGTTCAACATAGGAACAACCTCTGAATCCAAGGTTTTCTCTCAAAGCCATCTAACATTATCTGTCCTAATAATGCTCCACTGGTTTGTGTATTTTTTAAATTGCTGTAAACTGGCAATGTAATATTTTCAATTTTATATTTAAGAAGTGCAGATCACACCTTATATATGAGGAGACAGGCATAACTGCAGTCATTTCTAAGAAAGGAGGAACAGAGGGAATACAGAGCTGCACAGAATTGTTTCTTAATTAAGAATAAACACAGAGGTTTTCAAGAAAGCTAGGTCCACCGACATAGGTACTTTCCTATCAATTTGAAGAAAGAATGAATGCGCAGAGCTAAAAGTCAAATTGGGGAACATGTTGGATCATGCTGCATTGGTTGACAAGAAACTCAGCAAACTGCACAGCCAGTGAAGGAGCTGCCTGGCCAGAAAGCATTACCCTGGGAACGCATTACTGAGCCATATATCATTAAACTTAAGACTCAAAGGTATTCCAGAAACGTAATGCAGTGCATGCTCCCTTACAGAACAAGCTGCATTAACACACTGCATAATGCACTGCGTAGACATTACTTTAATACAGAAACTCATTATCTGTGCATTAAAGAGTACATCATCCTGCGTAATGTATAAGACTTACCCTGCACTGCACTGATAAACTTTTTGTCAATTACTGCATTTGAAGTATCTATCTTTAACCCAGTCTGAGTTCTTAAATAAAAGTAACTGTTTCAAAAACATATCTATATCTATGTATCTCAGATAGTTATTCATACTCTCATTCCTTGGTTTAATTAAACAAGTAAGAGGCAGAACACCATGTTAAAGCCAACAGTTTTCAGAGATTTTCTTTTTTCTATCTATAGTGATACGAAAAATAAAAGATTAACTAGAATTTGTGACAGAAGCTGTCAAGAAGATATGTTCCATCTGAAACATTTCCAAGGACTTTCCACAGTGCTGAGCTCAAACGTGGTGGAAACAAGAATCCATTATGTTTCCCTAAAACATGCACACCAACTGACACATGCATAACCTAGTTGTTCTATAAATGAAACGCCATTTCTATTACAAGCAATGTCACTACTGGAATTATCAGCATCCTATGACTTTTGTGTTGGTGTGATGAAAAATTACATTTATGGACATAAAAGCCGTGTATCACATACAAATGGTCATTTCAACAGACTACTAATAGTCACGTTGCTTCAGACATTTTGATTACCTGAGGTGTGTTTGTGATGGGCAGGCAAATTCCTAAGTCATTGACAGTCAGCTGAAGAAAGAGGGTTCCAAAAGCCTGCGCAGAGGTTTGTTGGATTCCAGGCAGCATATCTACTACTTCTTTTGTGGCCATATGAATATCTTTATGTAAAGCCATTCTCTGTTCATTCCAGTTGTCATACGCAGCCTTGTAGTTCAGCCAAAATAGCACAGCTTTATGAAGAAACAAGAAATGCTTAATTGAAATCACACACACACAAAATATTCACTAAATGAAGTTGTTGTTTTTTTTTTTTTTTTTCATTTTCACTGTTTCTCCATTACTTTACAAGAGCGGATATACAACAACGGACACACACACGCACACATTCAGGGTGTAGTGAAGATGCTCACGTTGCAAAGAACAAGATGGGCAAAGCCAATCATTTAGTGTTGTAGTTAACACATTAAAATACAGAAAGTGATGCTGTTCTCAGCATAATTCATTTGTGAAGACTTACAAAAGCAACTTCCTCCAAACAATCTGAAAACTGATCACCTCAGCAAATGGAATTTTTGGTGTTAGGAATTAATGTAGTAAATCTCCTAAATTTCTTTGCTACCTAATATTTTGATTTAACATGAAATATACTAAATCTTGAATATTCAAGCCTCTTTGGAAAAAAAAAAGCTTCCTCAGTACGAAGACAAATTTGTAGCAAACATCTCAATACCTCTATCAAAGGCCACAGGCTGAGCAAAAACAATTGGTCTGTTCAAAGTAATAAGCACAGCTTCTCTATCTGATGAGCCACTGATTTCTTCTCGGAGAGCATTTCTTAATCCAATTCTTGTCTTGAAATAGGCAACTTGATGAAAGTCAGAGCCAGCTTCTTCATAAACCTTGAAATGTTTAAAAAATGGGAAAGGGGAGGGGTTTGCAGCAGGGAGGAGTACAGGGACCGGGAAAAATAATCAAATTACTGCTTTTGGCAAAATGTAAAATTACAAGAAGTAGTAAAGATGTCTCCTTTCCCCTTTTTCTCTTCTAGCCAAAGCTAATATCCTTTGAGGATATTAAATTTTCTTACATTAAATTCTGATTGTGTTATTTTCCTTATTTACCATAAAATATTAATTAAAATAACTATTTATATATCCAGATCCTCTATTGTGACAGTACATTTATAGGTTCTAAGACTTGTATTTGTTTGTTTCTAGGCATCACAAAATATTTTCCTATCATAGAATTAATGATTCCAAGTAACAGTGGGTTTAAGAACCCAAGAGATACAACTGTCAAACTAATACAGACAAACTAGGTCAAAATGTAGGTCTAGTCAAGTTTGGATCTTGTCTGATATTATTTCATTCATGTAACCTAAAACTAATAGCAATATAAAAAAAATACATTAATTTGACTCAGTAGCAAGGCCCATTACTGTTGAAAAAGGCTCATAAGTTTTAAATATCAGTAGCATAAAAAAAAATAAAACAGCCCATACTTCACTCCTATCTTTTATGTATGTACGCTGGCCTTTATAATGAAGATTTGCTAATTCTTCTGAAAAGTTATCTCCAGTCCCATCTTGACTCAAATAAGACAATTTATTTTGAATTACTATTTAACAAAATACAAGAGCATATTCATGAAATTTCATGTGAAATTTCCACAACTGTGTGCTGCAGGATGGTTAAACTTTTATTAAAAAAAAAACCAACAAAAACCCAAAAAACCACACAAACAAAAAACTCCCAGAAAATAAGTGAAAAAAACAACCACCAAAAAAAACTCCAAACTCAAAAAAAATCCCATCACCATCCCCAGCCCCCCTACACTTTACACCCACTCTACAGCCAGATCACAAAAAAACTCCCAGCAGAGTAAGACAGCCTCTTGGCTTGGTTATGTATTTTTTAATCACACAGTATTAAGAACACCACATGCAAAGATGTTGAGCACTAACCTGATGTTTAACAATCTGTCCCAGCGCCAGATTTAAATCCACTTGGCATTTCCCAAACAGTTTGAGGTAGCTGCTACTTCCAGGCATCGCTTTGGTTTGCAGTCTGTTTGAGAGTTCAAGTTCTATCAATCCAGTTTCAAATCTCACAGCTCGCATTGAGGGAGTTGTAGCTGTCACTTGAATTCCCTAACGAATAAGGAAGGTACAAAGTTATTAGGATCTGGTTCAGAGACATAAAAGAGAAGGGAAAAGCCCCCCAAAAAACAACAAAAAAAACCCCTTTTCACTGTGCAGCAAAGAGTACATAATCATTTTTCACAATGCAATGCTGCTAAGCTATTTTAAAAGATTACAGGAATCAAACTCAAGGTCTTTTTCTTCACGCAGAGTATTCCTGATTCGATAACTGTTGAGGTAAAAACCTGAAAAACATTAACAGCATTTAGGACCACTGTTCTGTCATCATAAGATTACCTTAAACTGTAGGCTCAATGAGTAAAGAAGAATTTTTGGTTTTTCTCCATCAGTTGTGCCATCATGTTCATTCCAAAGAGGTATTGGCTGCTCCCCTCCTGTACACATTAAATATACACATTCAAAGTTTTAATAAAGAAAACATTTTAAAACAGACATAAAAAAGGTAACAGTGAATTAAGCCTCATTTCAAACAGTTGAAGATTTACAAAAACAAAACATAGATTGAAGATGGAAGACATTGGTGCAGATTCAGCTTGTTACAGATAGTTAATAGCTCTCTACTAAGAATGGAGGCAGACAGTCATGTTCCTCCCTCCTGGGAAACTTTCCACAGAAAGGCTCAAAGCCTGTAAGAAGTAACACCTAGCTTTCAAAAAGACATTCTTTGTCTCCTGCACCAATGTATCTCCTAATTATCTGACAGTAAAAATTAAACACTTGACCAAATGCTGTGCAAATTGCATGGAAAGAGCAACTGAAATTATATGAGTATTTTTCAATGACAGGAAGAAAGAATATTCTGTGGTTATTTTATTTTTGTGTTTACTTCCTCATCCTGGCACCTTTCATCCTAAGTTATGTATCCCCATAGGCCCTAACCTGAAGGAGCAATCTTGTCTTAAATTCTGAATGAGATTTGATCTGTATTCAATCTTAGTCTACAGGAAGGGCTTGTCAGTAGAAAAGGCTAAGCCATTCATTCATTCTCTCCATATATTTCAACTCTTCTAATTAAAGTTATTTGGTAATAAAAATATGCAGTTAAAACATATTAACTGATAAAAAACCCCACAAAAAAACCCAGTAAATTTTTATCACACTATTTTGTATCTGGATGTTTTTCTTCTCCAAATAGTCTTAATAACCACCACCTCTTTTTGTTGTGGGTCCATCTCCCCTAATATTCTTAACTAGGATTATGTAAAGCTACAATGGTAATCTAAGGCTTCTGAGCGAGAGGACTAACTCATTTTCATATATTCTCCACATGCACATTAGAGGCTATTTTTGCAATGGCATTGCTTCATGAAGTTTGTAAAGCATTTTCCAGTTAAAGAAAGCAAAAAGAAAGAAAAGAGAGATTACCTTCAAATAAAATTTTTCCATCTACCCTCTTACTTAAGGGAGCATAATTATCTTGAATAAAACTAAATTAGAAGTTGGATTTGAATCTTTACATAAACCAGTGCAAAAAGTTGTAAGAGTTTGAAAGCAGACACCAGCTGTCTTTAAATCAACAGTGCCCTCAACTTGCCGATGGAATTCTTATGAACTGCTCTGTTCATTAACGAGCTTTTAATCTGTGCAACTTCACCTGAAGTAAATGGTACTTACCTAGTTTTAATATAAGGATAATATGCAATCAGTATTTTAGCACAACAGAAACCATAATTAGAAGAAACACTTTAGTGTATTACATTCATTGGAATTTAAGCCACATAAATGGCTGCAAGCCAGAAGGACAACAGCTATTTTCTGCCCCTATTTTTCCTCTGCGTTCCATACCCAGACCCATGGATTGCTGGCACCTGACCACGTTCCTGCTGAAGGTAGCGGCCACATTTCAAAAACCACCAGGCTACTACTTGCCACGCAAATTTACAGTCCAGAAAAGCAAAGAACCAGCAATGGTAATAAATTCCTCACATAAAAACAGAGGAGAGATCAAACTCTAGAGACTGAGAAATGCCGTAGAAGAAATCTATTCTAGGTTTCCCATTTTACCACTTTATGCACCTCTATAAATATTTTCTAATAGAATGACAGCTGTTGAAGGTTTATTCTTCCCCTAAGTGTTCTCTTACTACCCAATGCTAATATATTTTGCCTGGAACAAATATCAGAGTGTTTAAAATTTGTTTCTTCTTACCCTTTAGGGATTCTGACATTTTCCATTTACTCCACTGCATCTTCTACCTCCCCTGTGGGCATGTCATTTGGAGCTCCACATTTCTTCTATGTATATTTGTATGCATGAATATATATACACACAGAGGTATATGAAAGGAGCATGTGGATGCACACACAGACACTCCTTTCACTTAGTTACGACTTTTTAGTTTATCTTTCCTCATGATGTTTCCAACTATTAATGAATCTTTCCACTAAAAATTAGCTATATTTCTATAATAGCCTTTTAGAATAACTCAAAAAGTGTTAAAATCAAACTACTTGAAATTTCACCTGCTTTTCAATATTTATTCTCATTTGTTATCTTGTAACATTCTCTCAAACATATATCCTTCTTCCTCTAAAAACTAATAAAATTCATATTCTGTTTATTTTACTTTTTTGACTTTATTATTTCTTATTAGAAATTTATTCTTATTTCTTATTAATTATTGCTTTACCTTTTCTAATTTAGTGTTTATCCCCATCTGCCAATTCTTATTCTGACTTAAACACTTCTACAGTTCTTTGCTTGTTTACTTTCCTGTTCATCTCCTCATTGTCATGTAACATCCACAGTAAATTATATTCCCGTATTTTTTTTTTAAACTACCAGACAATAACTAATGTGTCAAACAAAGCTTCCAGTCCTTACATTTCCCCTCAGACTAGTCACATATCAGAAAAAATAGTTTCATTTTGTACTATTTTTTCCAGCATGTAGGGCTGTAGAACTTGTTTGCTGAGTGAAATATCAATGCGTGGCACAAGTTATCAGCTTTTTTGTTTGCTTTCAGTTCTGAAACACAGACCAAGTCTCTAACATAAAGTAGAAAGTGAGTGGATCTATTTTTAAATGCTGCGCAAACTGCGATTCCGTCAAAGTTTGTTATGTAAGCAAATGAAAAAGTTTTGTAACTTTGACTGTCTATTCAAACCGATGAGCACGCAATTCAGTGTGCAATTTTCATTGCATACTGCAAAAGAGACAGCACCAAGTGATAATAGCCAAATATCTTTCTCATACATTTCTGAAACACATTATCGGCAAAGAATCAAAGAGCTAGGAATCAGGAGAAACTAAGTACTATCAATATTGACACTATTTTCCCTGGACACAGCTGTTTTCCTTTAAAAGGATATGCTGACCTTATTTTACAAAATACAGTATCACGATCTGCATTTTACAACTGAAGAAGTGCATACAGAAAGTAACCCAGCCAAGGTCACATCAGAGACAGACTCAGAGGCTAGTGCCCAGAATGACAAACTATTCTGCTTCCCAATAAAACGTCTTGTTTCTGATAGAGCTACAAAGATTTCCAGAGCCTCCGTTATATTACTTCAAACTCCAGCTCTGCTGCTTGGAGCACTAGATGTGAAATGATGGTGTCTGTGAAATAAAGAGCCACTCCAGAGAACTATATAATGTTGCCATCAAACAAGGTTTAAGGATCTTGAAGTTGGTTTTAAGTGTTCTGCTTACCTGAAACCTTCTGTATGACTTCATTTACTTCCTTCATAAACACTTTTTGCACAAATACTAAATGATTTAAAAGATCAGTTGTGAGATTATGTTCGAAGGAACCAACCTGCAGAAATAGAAAATTTTAGAACAAAGCTTTAAAACAGTAACCGTAACTACATTTTTCAAAACAATGCTTTTTTAGTTTTCAGGCATATCTTCAAGTCAAATTATATTGTTATTGGCATAAGAAAAGAACATCAAATAGTTTGCATTGAAATTTTTTTGCTGTGAATGCCTATCAGAAAACTGAAGGATATACACCATTGTGTGAAAAAGTTTGTTCTCCTGCTCAAGTTTAGCTTAGACAATAAAATGCAGGGCTTGCTTAAGGCTCATGGAAGCATGTGAAATGCTACTTAACTCCACATAGTAAATCATTATCAGAACAAAACGGAAATGAGCTGTCAACCTTTAGAAGTGCATTATCCTAGTTACTATTCTAGTTATTCTAGTTCTTTGCCATTAAGATTTTTTTAAACAAAATTAAGATACAGATATTTTCTAAAACTACTCGGACTTGGCTTTTGCCTTTGCCAAACAGCCCCTCTCTCTGGCTTTACACGCTGAACAAATTCAAAAGACCCTAAGGTCTTTCTTCAGCCAGGAAATAACTCAAATGGGTAGAACAAAAAGCAGCACCTAATTAAACTTCTATAAACATGCAAACGTCAGAAGTCTCAATTACAAACACGCTAGACTATTTTTATGACTAAAGAAATACAGTTAGTAGAAAAGCCTCAGTCTTCCCCACCAGATAGGTTTCTTTTAAGCAGCATCACTTCTGTGACAACTAACTGGAAATTGGTACGCAAATAGAACTTTGAGTAGAACGTACTGTGTCAAACAGAAAATTTTATATCCTTTACTAAGGTTATATATAGCTTCTACCTATGGAGCTGTCTAATAATAAACAAATAAAACAGTTATAAAACAATAAAATTGTTTTTACTTTTTTGTATTTTTTTGCAAAATACACATTATCTGATGTGTTAACATAAGTTTTCAGTTTAAAATTACCCTTTGAATCATCAGCATAATATGCTTTTGTCTACTCCACTGATGAGAAATACTGTCATTCCAAAAAAAGTTTCTAAACAAGTTTTCCTTATTTATTTGCAGAAAATGATATATTCAAAATCCTCCAATATAGTGGTCTTGACTGCTTAATATGTTGGCTGTTCATCAGACCAAGGACTAAGTAAGTTTTATTTCAGTGCCACGCAATTACAAATGCTATATTTGGACCAAGCTGTAGACCTGAGAGTTCTTGAGTAGGCAGATTATTAAAATAACATGAAGATGCACACACAGAAACATAACAGAATAGAAATAACAAGTTATCAAAGATGACTATCATCTTCAACACCTACTTCAGCCACACAACGTAAGTAGTTCCCCTGTAGATAGTAGCCTTGCTTAGCAGGTAGCTCATCTATGCTCCAAATTTGGTCTGAGTAAGTATCATGTTCTTCCATGATGTATTTGCCAGACATAGTGACAGGAGGAAGGTTGAGACTCGCCGAAGGAGGAATGGTAGACATGTCAGTAGCAGAGACTTTTGAAGTGAAGCGCAATCTATGACTTGGAAGCTCAAAATTAAATCTAGTTTGGGCACCTGTAAAAAGACGACGGGGAAAGAAGAGGTATAAATTGGCAAAACAATCCTTTATTTATCCTTAAATTTAAGACCACTTTTGGAATTTTTGAAAAAAGTAAAATCTTTAAAACGTTATTGAAGTGCACAGACCTCTAGAGCTATAAATATGCATCCGTATGATTGTAGGTTTTCTTAATTTTTTAAAGCAAATGAAGACTTCTCTGTAATTAGATAGAGAAGGGAGACATACAAACCACCTCATCTGTATTGAGGCCCTATAAAAGTATTCTCAAGTAGCCCTATGAATCAGAATTTAATTAATCAAGGAGCATAAACTGATGGTAGCAGTCAGAGGGAAGCTTCCTGAGATGGAGCTGTATATGAACATATACATGGCTTCATCTGCTCTTGTATTTTGCCGCTGGCAATTGTGTATAACAACAGTGTAAATTCTCTGTATGGCCCCATCAGACTGAAGTCCACATTAAAAAAAAATAAGCCAATAGCAACAGATTCAAAGCTCTAATTCAACAGAAACATCGAGTCCTCTTGGATGCTTCTAGCAATGCCGAATTAAAGCCATAATGTTTTTAAAGTTTCAGAGAACTGATACCTGTCATTCCATGACTCCTCATTCTTCCCATCTTATATTCAGCCTTTAGAGAGGGCAAGAGTGCTGCTCCAATAGCTATACCATCTATCATGGCACTGAATTTAAGAACTATTGGCTTCTTTTCTAAGCCTTCTGGCAGCTGTGGAAATTCATTTGTTTCAACAGGTGTTTGATTAATACTTGTTGGAGTCTTCTCAGAGGGCAAAGGAGTCGCAACATCTTCTTTGGTGGGCTGGGGCCTATTTACCACAACAAACATCAGAAAATACTTTTGGTTATTCTGACACGATATAAGACTAGCCCTACTCTCCCACATACGTTCCAAGTAGCACAAGCCATAACTGGATGGCAACCAGCGGCATTCGGAAGCGCCGTGCAAAGAGCACTTACGCAGTCGATGGTTGCCTGATGAGATCTGAAATCTGCTTGGAGAGCTGGTGAGAACTGCGCACCATCATGCTGTGCAGCGTGGCAGGGTGCTGAGGAATGTTGATGCTGATGGCTCCAACTTTGACCACAGCAGCGTTGTTTGTTTTCAACCCTCTCTGGGCACTGTACAGGGCCTGGGATTTGGCAATACTGCATTTCACGACAGTTCTAACAGGAAAGGAAATGGGATTTATTTGCACGTCTTTCAAAACAGTTACAGTTTTATGTCAAAATGGGGTTTTAAGTGTTAGCTGAATTTTAAAGTATCCATGTAAATGATTTTGTTTATCAACTACATACACATTCCTTTGTCTTTCACTTCACACACACGGATGCACTACATGCCACAAACAACTACACTACAGAGAACTCTAAGTCATGCATTGCAAAAATACCTGTTAAACTGTTATTCTTGCAAAATGTAAGATTGTTTGAGTTTATGCACACTAAGCTGCACATACACAGACAAATTTTCACACATAGAAACAAATAAGAGCCTTCCATTTTAACTGCTTTTCACAAATTGCCTTGAATCATCCTTTTCATATGAAGACTTAGTAAAATCTGATTTTGGCATCCAAAAAGGTCAATGGAGGAAATACTCACTTAGCAATAAATACAGAGCAAGTGATAAATGGGCTTGTGAATTAATAGTGACATTCAACTGACACATACTATTCCAAAATCTGAAGTCTAAACTTTATTTTAATGTTCAGGAGGATACAGTTCACAATGGTTACCCAAGATAAAAATAAAACTGCACAAAGCTGACAGTTTTTGATGTCAGAATGAAATTTTGGCATATCAGAATTCACTAAGCTCCTATTAAAAAAGATACATGAGGTAACACCTTTATGTTTCTCATCGAAGGTCAATTACTGGAGGGTTACCCAATGGAGTATATTATGTAGCCAGCACAGAATATTACGCCTCAGGAGAAAGACATATAGTTGTGAAGATTGAGTACATTAGCTAAAATGTCTGAAAAATAGACTCTATAAAATCGCAACATTCAATGAAAGTTTCTCAAATACTAAATTTTATGGAGCATAACTAAAATACTTTTGTATCATGATTTAAATTGTTCTGTAGACAGTTTGGTTTCATGGTGAAAGCTGCAGTGTTCTATGAATTCTACTCCGTAAGTAATGTTCCTTCTGTGAAGCCCTAACACAGGGCTCCTTATTCTGATGTTAAAATACCAGCTAGCCCAAAGCAACCCACGTGTGGAAATGAAAAAAAAAAAAAAAAAAAAAAAAAGAAGACATCATCCTTCTGCTGATAATGAAGAAATACAACACACTATAATGCAACCGCAGGCCTATCAACAGCAGATTAATTTACTGAAGCTCTAGAAACGTTTTCATGGCTACGTAAGAGCTGCAAGTGACCTAAAGCAGTTATGGATTAATATTTTAGGGTAGACCGTCAAGTAGACATGATTTCAAAATATTTGAAGAATTTACACAAATGTGAATTAAGATTTGTTTCCTCCTTCATAAGTATTTAAAAAAAAAATTATACAAATAAACATTACTTAAGAAAAGGGCAGACTTATTTAAATCCACCTCTTTAAAAGAAAAAAAACCACCTGTGATTATTCCTGTGTTAATGTTTGCTTATTTCCCACTCTCTTCCTGCTACCATTCTGACTGAACTATTGTGAAGCCAATCAGGAATACATTTCCCCCTGATCTGTAACACAAAATACTACTACATTAGCTATTCAAGCACCACAAGAACAACTTTCTACTTAGTGGAAGTTGCAAGATCTCTTCCTGACCTGTACCAGACAATTTAGTCTCAACCTATCTTTGTGTAGAAATTACAAGTAAGTGTAGTTGGAGTTGAAGTCTGTACTGAATTTACAATCAATTCTGACCACATGAATTCATACTATTTTAAGCACTTCCTGAAAATAAATACACCAATATAGCTGTCACAGGAGAATCAGATTTCAGCAAGATTAACTGTGTTTCTCTGCTAAAGTATTTCCACATTTCATGCAACGCATGAATTTCACGTCACTTCTCTGGTCTACAAAAAGCCTACTTCCATGAGGGAATGAAATGCAGAACAACTGTGTGGCTATACATTTATTTGGAATGAGCACTACACTATGCATCTGCAGTTTGCTTACCCATGGTGATATGCCTATAACCGATCTGGTTGAATACTATTAAAATCATTAATCAATATTGAAGTTATATACCAGTAATGCATTCAGAAGTAATTCTATGTTCTCACATCAATTCCATCAATAATTACTCTCCAGACAAACTTGTGAACAAAGTTTTTGTCCCACTACAGAACTGGCTACAAGGCCACTGCTCAACCTAACAGATTTTTGGGAATATTAAAAGAGGAAGAACAATGTCAGCAGAAGGCCTGTAACAAACACAAGAACTACCACACTGAGTCAAATGAAACTTCAGGCAGCAGCACATACTTGGGACATAAAGTGATCCTTCTCTTAATTCCAGCCATCAGGTGGTTACTTTTTGAGCCAGAAGCTATATTATGTTCATGACTCACCACCTATCCTACATGGATTTGTTCAATCCTTTAAATCATTTATACTTTTGTTGTCCACATCATATGGCAATGAATTCAACCGTTCAGTGATGCACTATAGAAAAAAAGTACTTTCTTTTGCTGGTTTAATGCTGCTACCAGACAAAAAGGAACAAAAAAGCTCAATAACTGCTTATCTTTTTTCTTTACATCACTTGCAGTTTTACAGTCCGTCACCTCTCCTTACAGAGCTACCACCTATAAGGACATTTTAAAGTTAATCCGGTATTATCACAACACTGAATATACACAAATGCTGTAACAAACAGCAGTTGTACTAAGTCCTTCTAAAAGATACGCACTGGTGGTTTAAAGCAGCAAAAGAAACCCATGCTCAGAATAATGCTGGGGGGTGGGGGAAGAAAAGCCTAACAATTTTTGGCTACATAACTTTACTTCTCAGAGTACTGCAGTGTCATTGTCTAACAGAGCTTCTAGGTTGCCAGTGTACCATTTCCCACCGCGACCACTACTCCAGTGAGACCCTCTGGACTTTAGCATCAGGAAGTAAGAAAGCAACTTTGCATATTTTGTGAGAGAAAAGACCTACATTCACACATACGGATCTGGGGGACATGAAGAGGGTCACCTTCGTTAGCAGTAGATGCACAGGCATAGTTTTAAGGAAAGCATTTTGTCCTGGCGTAACCTGGTCAGCATGCCTAATAATTAAACCCAGCAGGGAGGTAAAGACAGACAAAAGGAATGGTCCTGTTCATGCTGAAATCACAACAGGTACTGTCACTCCAAGCACAGCAGTTCCTTACCAAGTTCAAAGCAAATCTAACCTGTCCATTCCTTCATGTTTATCAGCATTATTTCACCTCATTAAAATAAGCATAGAAGTAGATCTAAAGAACTTAACAGACAGTAAAACCATTCTAGCATTACAGTAGTGACCCAATACCTGCCCCTAAAGCTAGATTGTTAACATTTGCAAGGGCTTGTTTTGACAGATATTTAGCAGGCTACATTAAATGCTTATCTAGGTAACATTAGATGTTAAACTAAAATGTATTCAAGCAACATCTGCCTACACAATCACACAATAGGAATGCAGCTACTAGCTACACAACACAGAGTTAATTGCAAGACTATTAAACATAATAATATGACATACAGAAACTCTTGTTTGGCTGTACTTGTAGGAGATGTAGGAAAATCCTCCAGTCTACAGATGAAGATTGAAGAGAAAGCAAGAAAAACAAAAACAAAGCAAATAAAGAATAAACATTCATGCAAAATTAGTCAGTTAATTACTTGTAACCCACAATATGACACTTACTTTCAAATTTACCAAGCTGAAGGTTTGGGGTTTTTTCAGGTTTGTTGTTTGCTGCTGCTGTTAAAGATTTATAATTATTTCCCCCTTTTCCTTTTGTACCCTCCCCTATATAGAAGCTCAGTAAGACTGGGACATAAAACAGACATGAAGAACCTCAGTCACCTTCAGAAACCCTGCATGGCTGTCAGATTTTATTTATCCTTCTGAAACACATTTATTGGGAGCAATTCAGCTGAGGACATGAATAAAATTCTGTATGTTTTAAGTTTTATATAGCATCTTCCAAAGTAAACAGGAATTAAAAGAAGAGAGACTCATGTCACATTATTTAGCCCCTTTTCTACAACATTAATATTCTAAAACCAGATCACATACTGAGGGTTACCCAGCTAACACTCAATCTGCTTGAGGATGATGTACGTTACAAAGAATTGTAGTTCGACTGTTGTTTTGCAACTCAAACAGAAGAAAGTTCAACTAGAAACAAAGAAAAATAATGCATGCCTTTTTTTGAGTTTGTGAACCTGGCAAAAAAAAAAGAAAACAATGTGGATGCTGAGCGAATCATTCAAGATGTTCATGCACAAAAAGCGATTCTTCCCCCCACCTACGCCAAGTTGCGGCAATTATCTAAAGGGTGGAGAATGGATATTACAACTGTAAAAATAACAGAAAGAATCATGCAGTAGAGGAGTTAAAAAAAGAAATCCATTAAAGAAACAATATAGATCTTAAATGGGAATAATCAGCATCGGTAGGTTAAGTACTCCCTAAAAATCTTGTATGGTTTAGTGGAACCTATAAGCTTCAAAAAGCAAATAGAAGCATAAGAGAAACAATACACACGATGTAATAAAGTTTCTGCACGTAGACCACATGGAATAAAATCAGTGCAGAAAGTTCTGATTGCATGAAGTTTAATTTCTTTCTTTTTACAAGAAAGGCACCTACAATTTTTCAGTCCTGTCACTTACCTATTTACACTGTGATCCTACAATCAGTTCTGAATTTACAACTATCTTTTACTAGAAACACAAAGTAACAGGAGTATTCATATTTCTCTAAGACTTGTGCGATTGGGTGCCCTAGACTCAAACCTAACTGAAAAATATATTCACCATATTCCTTCTCAGCTTACTCAGATATGTCTTTCCTAGAAAAGGCTCCTGTCAACAGGCACACGCAATCATTAGCTTTAGGAATCAAACTCAGGCCCAATTCTGCAACAGCTGCATGGTTACCACCAAACTCTGACTTCACAAATTCTCCCTAAAAACATACCAGCAATGTTTTCTATGTATTAGGCCACATATCTTTATTGTCACACAACTGATATCACTTCTATGCACTTCAACAATTTTAAACTGTCAGGCTTCATACTTACTGGATATTTGGGGTGATTCCCTCCAGGAGGACAATATTGACACCTCCGATGTGAGCAGTGGCACATGTCTCAGTCATCTTTTGATGCAGTACATCTTTAAGAAAAAAGATACTTAACAGCATTTCATTCAGTAAAATACTTCCTACTGCTTTCAAAAATACAGCAGCAAGAAAATAATTGAAAAATTACAGTTTTAGTAGTCACATTAAGTAATTAAGTAATATCAAATTTAAATTTTGACAAGAAGAAAGCTTTTGCAAATGAAAGGAGTGACCATCTTAAAATAATTTTCTTCACAGCATTTTCTGAAAAATCCCACATCCATTTAAAATCTTTTACCATCCTAGTAATAGTTTTTAAAAGAACTTGTTGAATGTTATTATACTATCCACATGGACATAAAATACCTCTATTTACAAACAAATTACACATGCACATACATACATATTGGTATAGGTATGCGCAAGCACATCAACATGTACAGCTGCCACTGAATTTAATTAGAGTACAGTTTAGCTTATCCCACCTTTCATTTTTTCTTTCAAGGTGAAACTGCCATGGATTCTCTTCAGTTCAGATTCCATCGTTAGACCACCAATGTCTGCCTCCAGGTGGGTTCGATTCACCATCCCTATACCGAAGACAATGAGAGTCACGTGCTGAGGCTCCGAAGTCACCAAGCTGCGCTTCCTCTGTGCGTCTCTGCCGTTATCCTGTTCGTTCTCAAACACCACTCTACAAGCAGGTTCAGTCAGGCTTCGCACACCTACGAAAAAACAAATGACTTATTTAAGGATACTTTACAAGAAATCCTTGACACACCTGATTTATATTTGAATTTGAAACTGAGGATCACTTATCTTGCACATCAAGCCAACATTTTAAGCAAATTATCCGGGCCTTGTTTATTCTACTCCAATAACGCTGCAACTGAACCAAATCCAGGACACAAAAGGGACAATGACGAGTGACATGATTTCATTATTATTCATAGATATATTCCTAAGTACATTACATAAATATTCATACTTATGTGGTTTTATTGTTATACAATAAAAAAACTCTGACAGTTTCCAATTGTCCTGTTTCTTTTTTGATCATTTCACAGTCAAAGCTTCTTATAATTTAGTTTTGGATGAGCAAGTTTTCCTTTTCAATACTGAAGAGCACAAAAACAATGTAAGAAAATTTACATTTTGTGCAGACATCATAGCTGTGGATATGATATTCTGTGCATGAAAGATATTGCCCTCTGTTTGACACTTTCTCAGTTTTTCATTCTTTAGTTAAAAATATATCCAAAGACAATATGCCTAACTAGTATCCCCTGCATATTTACAGTGGCCTAAGTTCACCAACAAAAAGAACGATTCTAAATCAGCTCTCAAATTTACTCTGCTGTGCTAAAATACATTGCAAAGAAAGCACAATGATCAGCCCAGATCTCAAAGCTTTGAGTGAAATTATGGCCTAAACACCTACAAACTGTGCTGGACTTTACCAAAATTAGTATTTCACCTTTTCTTCTTTCAAAGGTAGGTTCACAGTTGGGGTTTGTTTGTTTTTTCTTACTCAGTCATTCCCAGGGCAGAAATTATTTCCTTCTGGATTGCTTATGTATGTGCTTAGTATTTTCACAGAATTATAATATATAACATTTCCATTAGCCACTTGAACACAAAATAGCACCTAGGGAGGAACAAACTCAATCTACTCTGTACACAAGTAACCAGAAGATTTAACTTTTTAACATAGTCCCACACCCACTGCAAATCTAGATTAACAGAGCTGCACAAGAATATTAAGGGACTGAATTTAAAACTAATCAATTCACACATTTCTGACTAAATCTAGGATTGAAAGAATCAAAGCATACTATAAAGCCAGGAAAAGAATTTTTTTCTTCTGTACACCATCTTGGTGAACTAATTACAAGCTCCCCCACAGTCCTCACCGCTTGTCCCTCTCATCAAAGGTAGATGGGGCGGGCAACTTTCAAAAACCACCTTATGGTCAAGCTTTAGAAGAATACACTTGAGCAATAGCACACGTTCTCAATTATTTGGACTCATGAACTAGTTTACCTGTTGGCCCGAAAGTTTCAGAAGACTTTTCTAAAATCCCGGTTGGATCGGAAATGAGTGAATAGAAGTTCAATAGTTTATACATGTTTTGCCAGCACTCAGCAGAAGGTTCGCTCTGTTCCGATACGGTAATAGAGTCAGAGTCATCCATATGAATAGTCATGTGGTCAACTACATCTTTTGAACCTTTCCTGGAGACTTTAGAAGTTCTTCTTTCTGACCGCCCCAAGGAATTCTTGTTTCGAGACTCTTTTTTATTGTTCTCATTGTTTGTTCTTTTGTTCTTGGTGTTGTTCACTCTGTTACCTCCGTTAAGACTTCCTCGAGAGCTTCGGCTGAAATCAGAAGAGCGGAAGTCTCTGTGTTTGCGGGTTTTAAAAGTAGGTGTCGGAGAGGCTGATCCAGCTGTATATCTGCTAAGTTTGATGTCCGTCTGGGTGGCTTTGATATCATCAATCATTGTACTGAACTGATGAATGAGACGAACTAGTGCCATATCTACGTGCTGGCTTATGGACTGGCAAGAAATTGTAAAGTTACAGTGAAAAGTATTATAATAGCGTTTATTCAAGTCATGAAAAGAAAGGGCGTTGGTGGAGTTGTGAGGTGTGCACATGGATTTCTCCATTACAACCGCACTAATACTGAAAGTTTCTAACATCAAAGCTGGTTTGAATTCAAGCGGAGGAAGATTGACAGCTCCTTGCCTAAGGAAAGAAAAAGTACAAGTTACTTCTTTGTTTCTTTTTATGGGAGTCAAATACTTTTCTGCACAGTGCTACATCTAATTCAGTGAATCCAACCTTTTATTTCCCTTAGAATATCATCATCTTACCATAGTTCTAAATATAAAACAAAATGAAGTTTTATACTTTCATACTGCGTGCTACTAAGACAGTAATCATTCAGTTCAGGCATGCAATCTTTCCATCACAACCTAAAGCTTTGCCCAAAATCAGCGGTGGGGTGATTCAGCATTTACACTGAATGTAACAGCCTCACTTACAGGATTAGTTACAAAACAGCATTTAAGAGCCTCTCAAATTTCCCCCACTATTATTCTCACCAGTTCTCCCTTCCCCAATCTCTGATTTTCAAAAGTAGCTGAGGTTTAAATACTTAAAAGTTTCCAAATTATTCCACAGGAAGATAAAATAAATATTGTAACAGGAAGAGCAAACAGATAAGATTAAAAAAAATAAAGGACTGCTCTTTATTCTATGGAAGTGCTTTGGAAAATTCTATGTCTTCACATAAAAATCCTAATTTCTGTTCTTTAACCAATATACACATTTTCAAATACCTCACAACATACCTTCGAGCTCGTTTGCTTTTTCTTTCCTTTGCTGTATCTGAATCAACAATATCTGCTCTTAGACAGTCTAAAGTTCCTGAGAATGAAAGGTATTCTCCAAAGTACATTCTGTAGCAGAGCGGCATTGCATCCTGAGACTGAATTCCCGTGTAACTTAGAAGAGGTTTGAAAACAACCTACAAAACAAAACCCACTGATTTACTTCTTGTTGTCTAGATTATTCCTACATACTTACTCCATCATTTGTTCATCTACAATATTTACATCATCAGCTACATAACATAAAACACTTAAGTTTTATTGACATTACTGTAAACCAGAAAAGAAGGTGGATATAAAAGGAGAAGCTTGATGGACTTAGAGTAAAAAGATTGACTATGCAGCAAGCTGGCACTGAATGCTTAGCTACAGGAGCAAGGTTTCTGCATGTTCGCGCCAGTAAAAAGTACTCCAGAGAACCAGGCTGCTCTCATAAATGCTCCAATGTGTTCTTTGAAGTTATAAGACAATGCTCTATCAATCACCTCTCAAAGTTTGTTAATGGACACCTCAGAGGTTTCTTCAGCCTCTCGTCTTTATGCAGGAACACATAAGAAACATGTACAAAAACAGGATAGCATTTTCATCGTTGTAAGTTTATTTTTCGAGTAGTAACTAGCTTTTCCCTACACAACTCCCTAAATACATCAGCAAATCACCCCTACCTGTGCATCTGCTAGCTGGACAGCTGGAAACCCCTGATTCCCCTCTTCTACACCTGCAATGTCATCCTGACTGGTGCTGTGCTGTGAGTGCGTGCCATCCAGGGTGTTCTGGTCACTAGACAAAACTGTGTTGAAGTCTGAAGCAGAAGGTATTGTAGGAAGATTGGGTGCCACACCTAAAAAATAAATACCCATGGAACACTAACACCACAGCAAATTTTACCACCACCAACTCTATTCATTCAGCAAGGTTAATTATGTAGAAACACATGCCATATCCACGGAAAGTCAGAGTCCTAGTCAGGTCTATAGCCTCACAAAAGTGGCATTCAGGACAAAGAAACAGTATGATATTGCTGAAACAGTTACTAAATAGAGATAGTCCGAGTCATATTTGGCAAGCACAAAAATATTTCCTTCTTTTTGCTCTCCTTCCCAAGGTCTTTTGTCTGTATTGCATTCTATAGGGTACTTAACTCCTGTTTAAACTGAAATAGTTTATAGGCTGAGTAGCCTATACCATCAACAAAAAAGCAAAGATTATCCACAGTTGCAGATACTTGCTTTTAGCTGTCAACGTGCTTTAAGCTTCTGAGTTTTATTAGTCCCAACACAAGATCTACTAACTAGATCTCTATAGATTAGTCTTTGTATGGTCTTTCTACAAATGACTATGGACAGCCACTTTCCTGCAGTTTCAATAAGAAAAATACAGCTTTTTCTGGAAAAAAAAAAAAATATTGAAAGCAATACTTCTACCCTATGCTTCTTTCTGCAGAGAAACACATTCCAATTTACAGAGAAGCCACACCAGTTAAGCAAGATGTACAGCAAAAAGATGTTTTGTAGATCAGACTATTTGTTCAATATTAAAGCCAAATTAAAACAACTTATTATTGCTTAAGATGAACATATTATGGTTGAAAGACTATTAATAGAAGAAACATTCAAATTTAGTGTTAGCAAAAAAGAAGATTAAGATACACACATTTGAGGATTATGAATAATGACAGGCTTATAGGAATAATAAATAAGCTGCAATAAGTTGTCACATATCTGTTTGTTTAATACACTTATGACTTTCAGTAATGTATATTTTCTTTTCCCCATTCCCTTACACCAGTTGATCACTTCCCATCCCCAAAGAATGTTACTGTCAAAATAGATGTTTATGTTTAGTCTCAGAATTGAACTGAGAAAAAGTAAGGATTCCAATGTACAAAATCTTTATTACAAAAAGAGTATATGCAAATTAGATTAAAAATACCTAACAAAATGCAAGGAACTCTGCAACTGAGGAAGATTTTACAGCTTAGTTTTTGGCAACTACACATTGTTTTGAAAGCTACATTTACAGTTCCAAATGTAAGAAAACGCTAAATTTTTGGAGTCAGGGTGAGGGAAACGAAAACAACAGTTTTGCTTAAATCACATTTGTTCATGTTCCGGTTTGCTGAGAAATCCCACAAGTAGTATTTACAGCTGTTGAACTTAAGTCACTTGCTCAATTACTTTCAGAAAGAATATTGTAAGCACAGAAACAGCCAACCCAGAATCATCTCTCATGTTCAGCTGTAATTAGCAATACCTGTTGGAAGACTGTTGTGTCCAGATTTGGTGGCCGGACTTTCTTGCACTACACTTCCTCTGTTGCCCACAGCATTCGACATCCAGTTATAGAAACTCACAGAAGATGGTTCAGACAGCAAAGGATGTTCAGATAACATGTCTGTGGCCACAGTATTTCCTATACAGATAAATCAAAAGCTTCAGCATTTGATGTAGTAAAGTCAGAAAAAAACCAGGAACACAGCATAAGTTTACTGACACTACATATTTACTATAAAAGTAAGCCAAGTCCTCACGGTTTATTCCCATAAACTATGTGTCAAGCAGCACTACAGCTGCTAGCAGAAGTTATACTATGACACTATTGGATGTTGCACTACAAGTCTCTTTACGTTGGTTCATCTCTACTATTAATTAGAGGAAAGGAGTCATTAGGAAACAAAATACCTTTTTTTCTGAATAATATTTCATTCCCTGACAGCAAAGGAGAGAAGTTTTAGAGAAAATACAGTATCAAACTTATCTGTTTTTTCTTTATATAAATTATAACAATGTACACTGAACAATAACACAGAACATAAAAATTTCAATGTATGTTTTTCAAACTTCTACAAGTCACATTTGTTCAAAAGACCTTTACTGAAAATCTGCAAATTATTATATACAAACTAAGCTACTGGAACGTTAGTTTTAGTCCATTTTTGAGCTTCTTACAAGGTCAAGAAAAAATGTCAGAGTGATCACTTCATTTCCTTATTTATTCAAAAAGACTCACTTAAGTAATCATGTATTATACTCAAAAAGCAGTAAGGCTACATAAAAGGAAAATATTTTATTTTGTTAGTTGTCATTTTTTTTTCCCCAAGCTGACGTACTTCTTGTTTGTTTCTAGGAAATTGTATGGTGCAGTGATGTCTAGGAACTGCTATTAAAAACTAGGATTCTTATCTGGGGGGAGAGAGGTGGGTTCTTAAACAGAAATGATAACTCATAGTGAAAACATAGTACCTTTTCTAAATCATTAAAATAAAATCAATCCTCCTTTCCCCTCCCTTTAGCTTAGATCATACCTGTTCTTGTTAAAGAACTACTTTTAACTGCAGTTGTACTTCTTTGAGGAGTTCCTTCCAAAAGATTATGCAGGCTAGGAAAACTCCCAGTAAGATAGCTGAGCAGACTCTCTTTTCTTGGACTTTCTTTGACTGCCATTCCAGAACGGCCAACATGCACCGGTGAATCTGTAGCTGTATCTCCACTAGTGTAGCTTAAGGAATGATACGGATGTATACCCTTGTGGAGAAAACAAAGAAACTGATGAAATACTGTGTGAACTGCAAAAAGGAAGCGATGTTTGGTCTGTATATGAGATCGGAACACAGTAACTACAAAATTCTCATTCCTGCAAACTTCTGGACAAGGAGCACTTCATTTGGGTGAGGTTATATGCCATATAGGTATTGTGCATGAAGGTGCTAATGCACATATATATGTTTTTTAAGCACGGCTCTGAAGTTAATCAGCAAAAAAAACCCATAAAGAACAGATACAGAATATAGACCAACCAATCAAGCATCACTTTTATAAGGTAGGGAGCATACCGTCCATGCATTACAGTTACTTTTCAGACAAGTATTTATTCATCTGCACCCTACAGAATTGCTTCTTAACAGGCCAGCCACAAACCACTTTCCCCTCATGCATGGCACTAGCAACTTACCTTTATTTTCAGAACAGAATCGCTGTGAGTGTGAGTCTTGGATAATTTCCTCATGATCTCAGCACCAGTTACAGGCCCAGAAGAGCCACCAGCAGGTGGAGGACGATTAGCTGTCCCTTCTAAGAGCATTGTGTGCTCACTGACAGTAGCTGGAATCAAGAAAACAATTTTTCTTATTTGTAGGTATATGGGGAACCAAGAATATTTATTTTTAGGTACATTTATTTACAAGCAGTCATGAACTTCCAAATTCTGACACACACCTACACACTGCTGTCTAGGGATTTTTAAGACAAATAAGAAAACCTCAGACACAGGCCTACTGGCTTCTAATGTCATACAACTGTTGCTCTGTGTTACAGATGCAAAAGAAAGTCGCCAAATTTCACTCTCTTTTGCTTACTCTACTGTGGTTGATCGTTTTTTGATTTAAGATGCTCACATTTGCATGAATTCCATCCATAAGTAAATGTATACAAGGCAGCAAAATTGCCACTTCCAAAATTCTTGGTGAAAAATAGAATAATATACACAGCAGAAAAAAATTAAAATACTTCACTGGTTCTAATAGTCTGTTTCTGCTCAACCAAAGCAGATATTTCAGAGGAGAGAAAAATTTCCATCGTACTGTATGATTACATACAAGTTTCACATACAAACATCTCTGGTTTCGCTCTAGTTAATTTGATAATATTTGCCTAGTTTTTAAGTAAAAGCAGATTATTCTCCTGATTTTTTTAAAATTCTTTTTTCCTCAGTGTTACTTGTTACTTGAGATAAGAAAAACATAAACATTGTATTAATGAGAACACTGTACACAGATGCTACCAACAATAACAAAGTCAACTCAAGACAGCAAAAAAAGAGCGTTCCGAAAACATGTGTTTATTTATGCCCTTCCTTTCTGTCATTCTTAAGTCAGCTTTGCACCAAGTACAAAGCTAAATCAGTAGCATATGTTAAATTGGGAATGTGTAAACTGGAAACAGAAATCTACCACATACGAAGTTGTAAAAACAAGGAAAAATAAATATGAAAATATGCCTTCACCGAAAACAAATAAGAAGGTAAGTCCGAAGCTGTTCCTGGGAGACTTCATAGAAATGCATGTTACAATTCTTAACTAAGGTCAGAAGCTGCACAACAAAATCCTAATTCCAAACTAGCAAATAATTGATGTATTTTGTGTGGTAAATAACAAGACAAAGCATGTGAAGAAAGAAAAGTCTCCTGTTTTATTTTTCCCCAAACTAGTAATTATCGTTATAATACTAGAATTATAATTGGCAGCAGCAGCTTCAAAATGAAGATGATTCTAAACAAGAAGCTTGATTATTCTAAAGAAGAAGAAGAAGAAGAATAAGAATATTCAAGCATTAAAACTACAGAGTGAAATGCTCTGAGAGGAGCTACTTGTCCCTATGAATTTTTATGGGGACAGAAGAACACAAAAATACCTGCATCGAATTCAAACTCTGCTCCATCAGCACTTGTGTCACTCTGAAGACCCCCTCCGTTGTCTAATCCCAGTCCATCCTCGTGCTCGTGGCAGGCATTTGTCTGCAGTTTCACTGGCTGAGCTGGTCTGTGTAAGCTGACTCCTTTAAAAGCTGGGGTCACCACAATGAACTTCATCCATTGCCTTGCTAAGGCAACTAGACCTTTCTTTAAGGTTACTAAGGCAGGAAGGCCATCACTCTTAAAAAAATAGAAATTAAAAATGCAGATCACAGCATTTTAAAGGAAACTGGGGGGGGGGAGGAAGTCAGAATTCCCTTAAATCTTTGTGCTCAAGAGGCTTATGACAGAAACATGCTGGCACCACACAACATCCATTCGGAAGACTAAGAAGCCATGCTTCTAACAGATAAAAATTATAGCTTCACTGAACACAGTAAATACATTAATTTACATGATCTGAGGATCGAGCCCATGGGGCTAAAAATAAACAACAGGAAACAGGTTTATTAAATATGAAACTAGAAGTACTGAAGTAATTATAAGGCTCTGAAGTACGGATTAAAATTCATACCGGTACTAGACTGACTGTATAAACAGAAGAAATTAAAAACATGAGGGTTTTTTTCCATTGTTGGTAAGCAATATTTTAAAAATATAAATCTAATACAAAATACAGAGATTGTTTTGATTACGTTACTGAATCGTGCTAAAGAAAAAAGCAGCTTCTTATTTTGACCACAAATCAAACAGTGGTATTTCTGCCACAAATTGTGCTATTTCTGATCACTAGGCTGTCAGCTGAATATGTTGAAAAATGTAGTGTTTAAATCTGACAGCCATGGAACTGGATTATGAAAATTATACAAAATCAGGAACACACACTCCTCCTTATGCCCAATATGTTTGTTCAAACAATTATTTACCACTACAAATCCAGACATTTACATTCTAAAGCCACCGAGAAAAAGATTAGATTCTTAAGCCTTAAAGTTTCCACAATTCTAGCTCTTTTCTTAAACTGTCTGCATTATCCAAGTATTTCTAAGGAGACATGAAAACTAGTTCTCAAGGAGAGAATTTGGAATAAGCTAATCAGTGCATGCACTTGCCTTAATAATTGAAATTTATTCAATTTTAAAACTACAGATGCAAAGTTTTACTGCTTCACTGTAATCTTGAAGAAAAATGAAATCTGATAAAAAGGCCATTAACAATTTTAAAGACATGCTTTTTTGTTTGATGAAAATAGCTCAATGAAAATTATGCATGTACACAGGCCACAACAAAAACAGCAGATTGAAAGAAAATGAAGTGAGAGAAGCCATATCTACTTACCAATTTAAGGATATATACAAGTTTAGGTTTTATTTTCTTGTTTGTTATCTTTCCTTAAACTGTTACCTAATTTAAGACATTAGAACTTGTACATTTGGAACTAACATGCTGAGTTATTTCCATTTTCACAGGTTAACTCACCATGGTGGCATCCTCAATAACGGAGTAATTTGCTTGATGAAGGTAATGGTGCAATATATTACACAGCAAACAAGAAGGATTTTCTTGCAAGAAACGAGCCACTTTGGTAAGCCTGTTGTACTTGCTTCTCAGAGGAAAGTGCACACTCTTATTCTAGATTAAAATGTAACAATTTTTCACATATGAACATACTTGCAAACAAGAACACACGCATGAACTACAAGATTTCACCTATCACATCACAAACTTCTAATCCTATTTCGAACTTCTGCAACAAAGATATGCCACAACCTACCTTATTTTAAATAGTGGTACGTGAAAAATCATACTTGATTATTTATATGAAGTAATAAGACAGAAGGCTGGAATCAAATCGCAGACTTTGTAAAGTTATCTCTGGACTAATAAACATATATGCACAGCTAGGTGAGATTTAAAAAAAACTGTTTATTCCTGGTTAGAGAAAAACAGACACTTTTCTAATTCGGTTTAATGCTAGTAAAAGGGTAGGAAAAGAAATAGGAAGGGAGGTAGCAATAAAAGACTGCTGCAAAGGATCATTTTTGGAGTAGAGCAGAAAACTAGCCTGACACATTGCAAGACAGGATCTCAACAACGATTATCACTTCAATCTTCCCACTAGATGGTGCTAAGTAAACACTCTTGCACATAAGAAAGCTCCTTAGCAAATAACAGTAACACCCAATTTGTCATTAAAGCTCTACCAATCCTGGTTTTCAACAACAAAAAAAAAAATAGTCTATTTTGCATCTCTTGCTAGAATGTTTCACCCTCACTACGCTTGTCCTCCCTTCCTCTAGCAAACAGGTCCCATAAACACAATGAGTCAATACACTGCAGGAACACAAAAATGCTCCCAAAAAGATACCCTGAATATTTCATAATTTTGTAATTCAACACAGTTTTATATTTCATAAAATATAGCACAGCCTACAGCCATATTTCTTACTCTTCCCTTTCAAAAGGTAGAATCTCCAGTTATTTTATCTGGAGATGTACTCCTGTAAGAAGTATAAAACTTCCTCACTACTAACAGCTGATTTTTTTTTCCCACTGAAATTTAGATTCTGTACAAAAAGCACAGGTAGTGAGCTGTTGTGACCAATTCTGGAAGTAAAGGCTCATAAGTGATGCTATAAGTTTATCAGTGAAAATATCCAGAATCCCAAACAAATATATGTATGTTTAAAAAAGTGTTATACTGCTCTGTTCTGATATGCCTATTGATTTTATAAAGGTCATTTACCTCTAAAGCTTCTGTCATAATGCAACCCATAACAGCACAGATTCGCAGGGTTCCTTCAGTTTCTAGTTTATTTAATGATGATTTCACTTGATCAATGGGAACAAGCCAAGCACCAACTGCAGGCGTTGCAGTACTCAGGAGATTCAGCTGCCTATTGAGAAAAATAAAAAGAACTAGGTGTTCTGCTGACATTCTGCAGCAGCAATTAGCAAGATTTTCTAATGCTGTTATGAATTACATTCAACTAGGTGGAATATGACAGGACAATGTTACAAAGCAACAAACACAGATTTATTGCTCAGAAAGTGAATGTTGGCCAAAAGTACCTAAGGCAGGTTTTGTTTTACTCACTCACACACTCATGGATTCCATCCACTCTTGCTACTGTTATTTCCTCCTTTTCCCATTTGTATTCCCTACTGAAATCATACAGTTTGAAATTCTCATCACTGACTGAAGCCCACATTAACTGTTACACAACACATCATGAAGGAGTTTTGCTGAAGGGCTGAGGCAAGAGTATTAGAAAAAACAGAGTATTTTCTAGCTATATACCAAGCTTAAACTATTGACAGATAAGAATATTTGGCTTGTTCTACAAACACAAATTGAAAAACTATCTTAGAAACATTTATCTTGAACTTTATACTGCAATGGCAGTAAGATCACAGGTTAAGCACCAGTTGAATACCAAAAGCACTGAGTGGTTCTCTTCCCTAGCATCTCTCCTACTCAAAAGGAATACCCTCCCCTGCCTTTTTCCTTCACACATTTCAGTCTCACTGGACAATTGTTGTTGGTTGGTTTGTTTATCTTTCTTTTCTTCTTTTAATCATATCTAACTAAAAATTTGCTAGCAACATTTCCATATAAATGCTGACAATAAAAAATTGAAGCAAAAATTACTGTGATATACAATCCAAAACTTGCAGAGAAGCTTCAAAAATTATTTAAATTACATTCAGAATCTACCAAACACAACTGCAATTTATCAAAGCAAAATTGTCATTTTCTTTCTTTTAAATCAGGTAAAATTATACCTTGAAAATATATGGGCTGGAGAGCGCACATTGGTAGGGGCTGCAAAACTAAACCAAATTTCTTTGATCATTAGCTTCATGCTGCAAGAGTCAGGGGGAGGAGGTATCAAGGGTATATCTTTTTTCAGATCATCAGATTCAACCCCTTCATCCTTAAAAAAGGAAACAAAGTCAAAAAAGTGAAATGTTTTCCAAAATGATTATACTGAAAGCTGGTGCCCATCAACTCTCCCAAGAGACCTTGCCAAAAGCTGGAAGCTTAGTGTGCAAGCAGACAGTATGAATTCAGTTGGCACAACAAGACATCTGTTAAATTGGCAATTTCTTATTATGAATGTTAATCACTTTCAAAAAAAAAAACAACCCAAGACCGATCATTTCTACGTTGTATGTACATACCTGCTCATCTGAAACTGAATTTCCATTAATATCTGAAGAGGGACTTATTCTATCACAAGGAAGGTTATCATCAGACACATCGGTATTGTAACCACTACCAGTTGGAGAATCTGAGGAGTTATTTGATGCAAGCAATCCACCTCTCTCTGTGTCTCTTGATTTACCCATGACTCCAAACGTATTATACAATACTGCTCCAGATTGTCTTCCTCCTAGGAAAGCACACACATCAAGACTGCAAAATGTTTGCCACACATAAATTTCTGTAAGTTATGTCCCATTGAAAAGATATGCAACTTAAGAGGAGGAATACATATGATTTTGGTTAAATAAGGTGCATTACCATTTTACACAATCATTTATCACTACAATTTCCATACAACAATTAACAGCTGGTTGTAGAGCTTCTGATAGTTTGTTCCAAGTAGACAAAGAGTACTCACATGAAAACTTTTTAAACACTATTCCCTGAAAAAAGTAACTTAAATTCCAGAAAATACATATAGACTAGTTTTTTTCCTCTTTTTCAAGCTAGCAAAACTCTGACCCTATCAGAAGACACTGTGGGTATGATTGCAAGGTTATTTAAGTGCTCAGTGAAAGCATCAATTTCTACCTTCATTTTAAATTCAGAAACTGCCCAAACTGATTTATATAGAATTATTTCATATACTGTTATAAGTGGTACTGATTACTAAAAGTTCCTTTACTTTATAGTCTATGTGATATGATTTATCTACCATAGACATGTACAATTTAGTATCATCTATACTCAGCAATTTCTAATCACATAATTGCTAACAGAATTGTTAGCAGTTTCATAAAGCAAAATATTAAAGTCTACATAAGCTTTACCTTTTATAGTTAAATTTTCAATTCCACACTCAAACATTATCCAACCCCACTTCTCCTGACTAGGACCAATTCGAGTTACATCTGGAACAGCTTGTTGATCTGTTTCATCCACAAAAGTAAACTCATCCAACTCCTCCAAAGTAAAAAGAACTTTTGATTTCCCAAAAGGAATCGCTGTTATTGCACAAGTTCCAATATCTGTGAAAACAAACATATTTACCATTTTGTTACAAAATGAAAAAACTTTACATCTTCAAATAGCTCTCTGAAGTTTAGAGTGGTTTGGGAGTGCTGCCCCTTGAGCATTCCTCAAATGGAGGGGTAGGGGGAGAGGAGAGAAGAGAGCGAAAAAAATAAAAATCAAAGTATGAGCAAGGAAAAAAAGAAGCATAGTTTATAAAGTCTAAAAATCTTCCTCCTGGTATGTTAATATGGACAGGGTAATTTTTAAGCTCGGAAAAACAGGGACCAAGAAACACAAAGTTAAATCTTCGAGACATTCCCAATCCTAACACATCTGCCACCTTCATCTTTTTGTAGGGTCATGGTTCCAAAGACATACATACAAACAAGGTCTTCAGATTTTTATCTGAAACTGGCACCTGGCCTGAAATTACTTTACCAAAAAAACCAAACTCTTCCTAATAAATATCTATGGTTCAATAGCAACAAGTGACAGTGATATCGACAGTGCTCTTGAATAATATGTTTTAGTAGAAACACACTTGGTATTAACTACAGCATACTTGAAGGACGCTTAGAAATAAAGTTCTAATTTTAATTCAAAGATTGCTTCTTGGTTGGAAGCATGTCTATGTCTGCGTTGGGAGGACGTAAAGCACTAAGTCTCACTGATTCCTAAAAAAATACATACTCAAGCAGGTTTTAATTCATCATAATCTTTGCTGTCTAATATCCAGGAGGGCACTATGCCACCTTGATTTCTCTGATGTCAGGATGTAGCTTAAATACAAATCCTTTCTTCTAGTGACATTTCTAAAGGAACATTTTAAACAAT